CTTCTAGTGTGACGCCTACACTCCTCATAAAATCTATCTATCTTGCGACGACTACGCCGTCCTGATAGTGCATATTTGGAGACGCTGTTTCCCGTCCCTAAAAGCTATTATGACGGCCACCTATGTGACGCTCCTGTTCGGTGTCACAAAATCCGAAGCGTCAAATTGTGAGATTCTTGTTCTTGTTCCTACATAAAAAAATCGTATTAAATAATGTGAAATCCCTTAAAAAAATGAAGTTATTTAATACGATTTTTTGTTATGCAGGAACAAGAACAAGAATCTCACGATTAAAGTACGGTCCGTAGTTTACGAAATATTTATTTTGATTTGTATTTACATTTGAATTTCAGTCTACTAAGTATTTGAATTTCATTTTAAGTTTGTTGTTATTCTCTTGTATTTATTTGAGTGTTAAAAATGAAATAATTAAAAAAAAATAAAAAAAATAGTTGTTTCACGTTAATTTACACGAAATGCTCAAATAGCCTGTAAATTACCTTTTTTTTTCAAATTTTTATTGAAAAAATATACACAAATATATTTATATATATTATTAATATTCCCAAAATAAATACGGAACTCTTTCTTGAATCGACAAAAAAAATTATTGATAAATACATTTACAATAATGAAAGAAAACAAGAAAGAATTAATAAAGAAAAGAAAAATTCAATTCCGTTTATTTCGACTATAAAAAAGCTACTATTATTTTTTTTTTTTTAGCATGTAAACCATATAATTTTTGTAGTTATGTTGTAGATTTTGCAATATATATTTTTTGTTATGAATACTATGCAATGTCTTATGGATTTGTGTATATCGTTATTATATTAAAGTATGGTACGTAGTTTACGAAATATATGTTTATTTTAATTTGTATTTACATTTGAATTTTAGTTTATTTAGTATTTGAATTTCATTTTAAGTTTGTTGTTATTCTCTTGTATTTATTTGAGTGTTAAAAATGGAGTAATTAAAAAAAATAGTGATTTCACGTTGCATTTCCTGGAAATTTACACGAAATGCAAGCTTGCATTTATTAAAAAAAATAGTGATTTCACGTTGCATTTCCTGGAAATTTACACGAAATAATACAAAATTCTGAAAAATAAAGCGTTTCGTGTTGTATTGCACGAAATGGAGTGTTTCATTTCGTGCAACAGAACACGAAATTCATAAAAAAACTAAAATACTATGGTTTCGTACATCGTAAAAAAACACTATTTCGTGCTTCTTTGCACGAAATGCTTCTATCCATTTCGTGTTAGGGAATACGAAATTACAAATGAAATAAAGTCACACTGCAAGCCGGTAAAAGTTGTTCTATGAATAGCATTTCAGATAGACATATGATGTATGCAATTATTTTGTTGCATGTGTAGATCCCGTTGAATCGGAATCTTCTACGTATCGACCTCTTTAATTCCTTATTATTGCTAATGTCAGAATTAAATGTGATCATATTTCTTAGTCCATACTAATTAATAATAATATTGTCAAAATATTACATGGCGTAATCAGCAAGATTCTTTTTGATGGTTTCATCAAGAAATTTGAAATTAAAGAGAGGATCAAAACAAGTGGCCTCAACACGTTTTCTTTTGTACTATAGTTTTCAAGTTTTAATGAATGTTGTCGGATTTATCTATTTTTATTTATTTTTAAACCAATTTTATTTATTTAAACAATTGAATTAATGATGTGAGTGTTCGGCCGGTTATTTTCGGTTTGTGGTTAAATGCTTTTAGCACATATTTAATTAATTCACTTACTAAAGTATTATTTTTTACAGTGAGATTTTTCATGTAGAACAAGAAGCTCTCGAATTCTATGAATAAGAGAGATCATCGGTTCATTTACAATCGACTTCTGAAGAGAATTAAGAGCATAGCGCTTTGGGTGTCGGAACGTCTTGTACAAAAAAACCTTTTAACAATAAAAAAAAACCCTTTTGAATATTAAGCCTTCAGCATGTATTTTGTTACGTGGTAATTTGAGCAAAAAAACATATTTTGAGAATTAAGAAGAAATCGAGAGATATGAATTAGGAGAAGAATTAGAGAAGACAAAGGAAGATAATTGATTCATATATTTTTTTTCAGGTAACATTCTAATTACCCTATTTATAATACTCATAAATAATAATTAAATTACTACCCCACTAACCCCTTAATCACACTATCCCACTAATTTAATTCATGCAAACTAATTAAAAACTACCCACTACCATATAATTTTGACTAATTCTAACTAAATTAAATAATAAAACATATCATTCCCGCCCGCTCGAAATATCCTTGACCTCAAGGATATAGTCTTGATACGTGTATGAGATTATTTTGTGAATTGAGTTGATTTGGTGATCCATCAATTAATTGAGAGAGTCGCTAGAACTCTTCTTGATAAATGACATTAATAGATGTTTGTTTCATGAAACTAAGTGAGGACTTCGCAAGGATCGTCAAATTCGGTAGGGCTAAAACAGTAGAGCAACGCCTTAGTAAAATCTTCCCCTGCTGACGGTTAACCAGCGATTCCATTCCAAAGTGATTCCTTCCAAAAGAAAGTAATCGAGGTGCACCTGCTGATCTTCGGCAATACTTTGAAACTCAAAATATTGCTTGGCTTGGAAAATCCATTCCGTTACGTTTTTTGTTGCGACTTTTGGAATTTGTTGTTTGAGGTTTGTATTTGGGGCATGGATTGTAGTTGAGTGTGTTGTAGGTATATTTATTTTTTGCTTGACCGGTAGTAATGTTTCTCGCACAACAAAGGGGTTGACATCATTTTCGGGTTAGGCTCTTAGAGCTCGAAGCTCGGTGAGGACAACTTGGAGGGTGTTGTGTATTTTGTCGAAATTGGATTCGTGTCGAGATAGGGTTTCAATAACCTCAGCACGGAATTCAACATCTGACTAGTTACGTGTCTCCATGGAACGTAACGGCCCTGATACTATTGTTACGTGGTAATTTGAGCAAAGAAACATAGTTCGAGAATTAGAATTAAGAAGAAATCGAGAGATATGAATTAGGAGAATTATAATTAGTAGAAGAATTAGAGAAGACAAATGAAATTCATATATTTTTTTTCACGCAACATTCTAATTACCCTATTTATAATACTCATAAATAATAATTAAACTACCACCCCACTAACTCCTTAATTACACTATCCCACTAATTTAATTCATACAAACTAATTAAAAACTACCCACTAACGTATAATTTGACTAATTCTAACTAAATTAAATTAATATAACATATCATATTTGTCCTCCAAAGGTAACTATCAAAATGAAGTTATATTTTGATAAGTCTTATAGATTGGGATGCAAAAGTGCATCCAGATAAAGAAGTATCAAATATTTCTGAAAAAATGGCAATCACCATTAAATGTTAAAATAAGATAATAAAAATGTGTGTTTTTCTAAAATTAATATTTTTAAAAATAATAAATTTGTTTAAGTTAGTACTTTGTTGTCGGACTTTGAACGTATCAAAAGATTATCCGTAGGGATCAAATGAGTATTTGCATGATTTACATCAACTGGTTCCGAAGGTGATAAGTTGGTGCAAGGTCCTAGGATCGAATCCTGGTAGCCGCAGTGTGGGAATTTCAACTCCAATGAGTTGGTTCCTTGTGGGCACCAGGTCCGGGTCCGCTACCTTAACGGACCGTTGAGTTACCATGATTTACATCCTCCATCAATCCTTGTCGGGCCAAGGGATGGGGGTCCTGGGGGGAGAGATTTCGCCTTTTGGTGCAAGTATTTGCTAATTTAATTTAAAACTTACGCATATGAGGAGTGATTTTTTTTTTTTTTGAGAAGATATGAGGAGTGATTTATTTGGGATATTTTTTTCCTTTGTGATATTTATCTTTATTCCCTTGAAATAAAATCAAATATATGTACTATACGTTCTTGATATCTTCAATGTTATCTTTAAATATATAAAAGGAACAACCCTTTGTTATATTTATTTGTACTCCCTTAAAATAAAATGAAATATAATTACTCTATATGTTCTTGATATCTTCAATGTTATCTTCATGTATAAAAGGAATAAAAAGGACTATCAAATTACTAGTATTTGATAAATTGAACTATTGAAGTGCATCAAGAAAATATGAATTTAGTTAGAACTCATATTCCAAAGTTTATTTATATAAAAGAATTGAGGACGTGGGACACACAACCAACAACATTAAGTTACATTTGGATAGAATGGTTTGACTAGAAATTTCTGATATCAACTTTTTTTGACTCTTCAATAAAGACAATATCTTTGTAGACTTCCAAGCTAATTAAGGACTAAAAAATTATATTTATGACAAAATAATAATAAAATAGAGGGTTTCGTAGATACTACATTCGGTAAAATACACTGAGTGATTATGCACCATTAATCTATGTATAATAAAACGCACTCATATGTATATATGTTTAGTTAGTAGTTATTTGTATATAGGGGCGGGCGGACCCAGGGTCTTTTTTCTTGGGGCCTAGAGTACGTTGGTGAATTAAGAGAATATTTTTTTTATGGACTAAAGTGTATAAAATTGAAAGGTTGGGGAGATAAAAATGCATTAACTAATACATACATACCTAATAGAAAAAAAAATTGTAAAAAAAAAAAAATCTGGGGCGAGGGCCACCCCAAGTATACCCATTGGTACGCGCATGTTTGTATAGATCTATGATGTAAAACCACCCGATTTGTAATGAACTGAAATAGTCGAATAGAGTACTCTTGTTCTCTATTCCCATGCATTAACTTACATTCTAAGTTTCTATCCATACAACATAAATTAATGTAGCACATACTAAATTTATATCCATGAACACAAAAATCCAAGCCAGCCAAATTTGACTAGCTGATTTTTCTATATGTTCATAGTACTAAATTAATTTGATCCCAAAATTAGAAGGGTTTGTGCATGTAAGCAAATATGTCCTGATACATTGAGATCTGTTCATCACTATACTGCTGCATTTGTGAGGTAAAAAGGTCAACATCTTGAAAGGCGGCATCCATAGTGTAATTGAGCTGATAATCGAGACAACTATCGAAATCGTTCCATTTCGACTCGCTTTGTACCTCCGGCGACAAAACATGCTCCGAGCTACTAGAGTCTGTATTGTTATGCAACTTAGGTATCGATTCAGATGTGTCGAAATGAAATATTTGCGGTGACGATTTTACCCCCGCGCTGGTACTGGTAGTATAGTGAAATGCATCCACATTCGGCTTTTGTTCTTCGACATCCGAGAAGTACTGCACTTCCTTGTGATCCACATTGTAATGCTTCTCAAGCGTTCCTTTCTTGTTGTATAACCGACACAAAACCCAATCATCGAGCTGCAATATATATCAACATTATAATTAATCACACGATTCACCATTTGGATATTTTTTTTCTTCTCAATATAATTAAAGAAGTGATCCAATAATCGGGTTTAATTAAGTGCGTACCCTAGAGTTATTAGTCTTGGCGGATGCGGAACGGTCCACATTAGCAAGGCGGTATTCGTGCATAATCCAATTGGTTTTGACTCCTCTTGGTGCTTTTCCGGCGTAAAAAACTAGGGCTTTTTTAATTCCGAGAGTCTTCGGTTTTCCGACCGGCTTATCGGCTCCGGTGGCCTTCCAGTATCCGGTTCCGGCCGAGCGGTTCGGCCGCGAACCGTTGGGGTATTTCCGATCTCTTGGAGAAAAGAAATACCACTCTTTCTCACCGTAGAGTGCCATATCTGTCATCAAACCACACACCATTAGCAACCACACAGACTTTATCCAAAATCCAGAGGGGTAAAATTGGAATAATAAAATGCTTCTGAAATCCCCAAATTTTAGGCACAAAAAAAAATTTACAGAGAGAAATTTCCAATTGGATCTAATCATGTAATTAAAGGATTACGAGTGAAGACAGAGTACTCGAAACAGAGGAAAATCTGAGAGAGAGAGAGAGAGAGAGAGAGAGAGAGAGAGAGAGAGGGTAATGATTCAATTTCAGAAATTGAAAATTCTATGAAAAATTGATAACAAAATCAAACGAAAAAAGGGGGAACAATTACCGGGAAGCTGCCAGGGGTCGAATTTGTAGAGATCGATATCGGCAATAATGGGGATTGAAATCAGCTGACCGGCGCACTTCCGGCAGAGGTAATGAACGACGAGCTCCTCGTCCGTCGGATGGAATCTGAAACCCGCCGGAAAATTCAATTGCTGATCACCACCACCCTTCATTCACTTTCGCGAGGAAACTAATATGGAAAATTAAGTATACTTTTTCTTCACAGATGAGTTGAATTGCTGTTCTCCAGCTGGTTTGTTAAGACGATGAAATTGGAAGGCCTGTGTGGTGTGTATATATATATATATATAGAGAATAGATACACACAATTACAGTTTACATGTACTGTAACTGCATCATATACCGCACGTGTCGTGAGTCATCGCATCCAGACAGTCAATACTCAATAGTGTTCTGTTAAAACGTGATTTTTCGTATGTATTGTGCTGCGTGCATGTATCAGTGTGGGGGGCTAGCGGGGTGGGGGTATGCCCGTCTTTTTCAACTTACGGGCGCATGGTTGAAAATCGGATGGATCAGATCGAACTTTTCAAGAAAAATAAGAGTAGAAAAAGGAAGAATTTTGAAAATTGAAATGAAAAATATTTGTTTTAGAATCGGAAACTTTTGAATCGTAATAGTCGGGATATGGATTTTAAATTCTTTTTACTCAACTCTAATATAAAAATACATAACAATTAAGATGTTTAAAGTGTAATATTTGGAAAAAAATTAAATTGAATTCTTTTGAAATATTTAGGAAATTAGAATCGGATCGGAATGTTGAATTTAATAGGAATTCCAATTCCTTATAAAAAAAAATATTTGAAAATTTAAAAAATTGAAACTTTTAAAATTCTGAATAAAATATATTATTCCAAAATCAGAAATATTCAGACTGAAATTATTAGAATTAGGCAATTTCATTCATATTTCTACCCTAATACATGTAGACCTTGCTTGGTTGGGGGAGATTAGTCACTATTGACTAAATAATAAGATTTTTGTTTGATGTTTGGTCTCCCTAAAAATTTACTGGGTCGACCCGTAAATATTATGTTATAATGACTTATCTGGATCGTCCAAGTTTCAACGATATAGTGTTTCATGGATTATTTAAATATAATATTCAAATAATATAATTTTGTTGAACTATTTTGCATTTAAATAAATAGATAACAACGACAATAATTAAAAATATTAGTTCTAGTATGGAATGTAGTAGCACTTCAAAATTATTTAATCAGTATATTTCGTTTGTGTTGTAGGCTTGTAGCTAGATATGAATTGGACACATAATTAAACGTCTGAATTAATAATTTATAATCAAGAAAACCTATTAATTTATAATAAGTTAATGAAAAATACTTTTTTTTTTGTCTTTTTTTATTTTATTTATAATTTTGCAAGTTGTGGTCTTATCTTGTGGGAGGCGGTTTGCTTGGGCGGGGCTGATCGCCGCCAATGAAATGAAGGACCCGACGACTAATCAACAGACGCCACGTTTGATGACACTTCCCCACGTGTTGCCTTACGCCACTGCTTTCGTCACCCGAGTTCTGACAAGTCAAACGCTGACTTGTCTGAAATCTTTCCTGAAATATATTTTTTAATACCCGATAAATTAATAATTTCGTTTAAATAATACAAATTTTCGGGTGTTAGATTAATAAGATAATACGTATTCACAAAAATTAAGAAGACCCATGTAATATATAAATTAATAAGTTACATATGTATAATACATATTTTAGATCTATGAATGCTTAATAAAGTATAATTTGATTGTCGCATGTTTCTTGATCAATTTCACATTACCATTAATCTCATTCCTTAATTTTCTTAACATGGTTAGAACTTCTGGTATAGTTTCTTATAACTCAACATAAAATTGTTCAATACCATTGCTGCTTTAAAAGTTTATTGATATGCCTAATTGGGTCAACCCAAGGGACTTACAATTTATTTACCTACTGGGTCACGAGCCCAATATTGAAGACCAATATCACCGAGGCTCAATCACCTTCAAATAAGGTTTGGGCCCAACGATCTCATCTAAGGTATAAATAACGATATAATTCATTTATTAAAGGTAAGCCCTATTATCTAAATAATACTAGGAGTCACATTCTCTCAATTATTTCTACTATCCGCACGTCTGACTTGAGCGTCGTAGGATTTTCCGCCGGATCAACCCCCGGCCTAGTTCACGTGTTCTATGATCGCATGTATCTCAAGGTCATCAAACTCGTGAGCCAGTGATCCACTCTGCTCTTCCAGCTCATCCTACTTCAATTATCTAAGGTGATCTAACTTTAGCATCATCATTTATCTTCATGAAAAGAGCTCTATAATGCATTGAACTAATGGTACAATGAATAATATACACGCAAGAAAATGTATTTATTGAAAATAATAATAAAAATAATTTCGAAAAATAATAAGTTATTAGTTAATGTATAAATTAATATATCGATAAGTTAACACTTCTTTAAATTAATGAGATTTTGATGGTCCCACCTGTATTAATTTATAGAGGTTTCACTGTATTAATTTGGTCTTCATCTTCCTCCTCATCATCATCTTCTTCTTCTTCTTCTTCTTCATTATCTTCTTCTTCTACTTTTTGTTTTTCTTCTTCCTCTTCCTCATCTTTCTCTCTTCATCTTTTTCTTCTTCATGCCCTCCTCCTTCCTCCATCTTTTTCTTCTTCTTCTTCTTCTTCTTCTTTTCTTCCTCTTCAAGCACTGATGGTTGAACGAGGGTTGGTTAAATTGACAATGGTATGGCGACGACGGTCAAGCAGCCGTTGTGCACAATGGGTTTCATTGGCGGCGGTGGTCCTTCGGCGACTGCAGTTTTTCTCACCTTGTGTTCTTCTCTTCTCCCGCTAGAGCGTTTCATCTCGTTTTTCAATTTCAATTTTCTTTTGGTCTTGCAATATTAATTAAATCTAACTTAAATGAATAATACCAAAATCAATATTGAAGTTATATCCGCAATCTTCAATCTTGCTCTTAATAAATTTATTTATAGTATGGTCTTCCACCAAGAAGGTCTTGCCCAATAAAAATTTAGGATTGCAAATATTCGCTGTCATAATTTAAATCTCATTTGTGCATAAATTTAAATTAATACAATCAATAGTAACTAAAATTAATTTTGTCGAAAGACCAGTGTAATTTGTACAACAATACTAAGCATAATTGTCTTCCCGCTCATTCTCTCTTTATTAATTATTCTTTTATTTTCGAAAGAAATTATGAGCTATATATATAAGGACAATATTGAAGATAATTTAGTACAAAAATATTTCTTCAAAACAAAATTAGTGTTCTATTGTGCTTGTAGATAATTTCGTATAAAAATATTTCTTAAAAAATGACAATAATTTAACACGGATTAAGTACTACATTATGTACCTAATTTGACTAGTGAGAATGTGAGATGAACAATGATTAATTAAATCATTAGATACAACTATCTAATATTTGAGTTAACTTCCAACTTTTTGAATCAACCCACAATTATGACCAAAATGACCTTGTTTTGTTTATGTGTTTCTCACTATAGAACTGAGTATATTTGTATTCAATATTATTGAATACTAGTACTCATAGACTTCTATTATGTATAGATTATCATCGATTCTAGAAAGTCTTGTACGGAGAAATTAATTTGTGGTTTTTTGTAAAAGAGAAAATCTTTACTTATCTCTTTATATATTCTTTGAATTTTATTTTAATAAATTTTCCGCCTGTAAATGCACATCCACAAATTTATATAGTTGTAATAATAATTTAAAACTTGTGTTGTTTAAATTTCCGAGCAAAAATATCATAAAATTACGCGAATTAGAAGACATTGAATCTTTCATATTAATTGGTGAATTATGTGTTGACATCCTCTAGCTAGTCCAATTACATAATTGAATTCTCATAAAATTGTGTAATTCAACATTTTCATTTTATATTTGGATTCTCTATATATACTTTTGGTTTGCAGAATCTTCTTTCTTGTTTGTTTTTTTGGGAAGGTGGTTGGCTGAATTTTCAACTCTTGCAATAAGTGATATTGGAATATTTAATATTAGATTTGAGAGTCGTTCTCGGCCTACAACTCGTGCTTAATTAGCAGTCTCATTAATTCAACAAATATAAATGTAAGTGGTATTAGAGCCTAGGTCCTAGACTTAATCATGTAGTAGAAATTGTCGGAATCTTCGGTACGGTGCTGAACAAATATGGTGAGTTCTCAGTACGCAAATGACGAGTATATGTGGTGTGTTCCTTTATTCAAGGCTCGATGCAGAATATAAATGGTGAGCTCTGGGGAGGCTCGATGTTACTTTTTTCGAGCGAAAAGTTATTGAAATAAAAATCAAGTCCCACATGCATTTAATATGAGAAAAGTCAATTGTTAATAATATCGATATATCAACTCTATTGATATGAGACATCTTATATATAAAAGAAAGAAACGCTAGGGCAACCCTAAGAAACCCTAATGTCATATTTGTAATTTTTTTTCAATTTTTATCAAATTTTTATCTCCTTAATATTATTTTAAATATTATTTTTGAATTTTATCATATTTGTATCCCCTAAATATTATTTTAAATGTTATTTTTTATTTTTATCAGATTTTTGTCTCCTAAATATTATTTTTTATTTTTATCAAATTTTTATCTCCTAAATATTATTATAAATAATATTTTTTTAATTTTATCAAATTTATATCTCCTAAGTCCTAACTATAATTTTAAATATAATTTTCAACTTTTAGCAGATTTTTATCTCCTAAATATTATTTTCGAATTTTATCAAATTTATATCTCCTAAATAATATTTTAAATATTTTTTTCGAGTTTTATCATGTTTTTATTAGTTTTTTTATCTCCTAAATATTATTTTCGTTTTTTATCAGATTATTGTCTCCTAAATATTATTTTCGATTTTTATCAAATTTTTATCTCCTAAATATTATTTTAAATAATAATTTTGATTTTAATCATATTTTATCTCCTAAATATTATTCTAATTATTATTTTCATGTTTTATCAACTTTTATCTCATTAACATTATTTGAAATATTATTTTCGATTTTTTATCAAATTTTTATCTCCTAACTGTTATTTTAAATTTTATTTTTGATTTTTATCTCCTAAATATTATTTTTTGATTTTTTTATCAAATTTTTATCTCCGAAATATTATTTTAAATATTATTATCGATTTTCATCAAATTCTCCTAGATATTATTTATAATAATCTGATTTTCGATTTTTACAGAAAAGTGTAAATAAATCTGATTTTCATCCCTAGCGGATTTTGTGACATCGTTTTACAGAATGTCTGCAACATTTGAATTTTATTTCTTCCCTACCTAAGGCTTCTTCTTTTGGTAACCCGACTTTAGATTTTGTTTCTTATCTTCTTCTTCATCCTATTGCATGTGTGGCAATTAGTTTACATCTTTTTCCATCATGGCTTATAGGTAATTTCATTTTGTTAAATTATGTGTTTCATTAATTTATACCAAAGTTTTCAAATTTTATGTATAACAATTATTTCATTTTATATGTTATTGGACATGTTATTGAAAGGTATGATTTGAGAAAATTAACCAAAAATGGGCGGAGCCACAAGCTATTGGAAGTCGACCTTCAAGACTTATTGTTTGTATGCGATATTTAATTTATTGTTTATATTTATTTTTGTTTCTTAATTTTCCAATTGTTAATTCCAGTGGCAAAACAACCTTAAAATGAGGCATTGGAGAAGGGCTTAGTTCCGATGCAAGATGTATAGATGGCCTTTTACGATGGTATGTTGTCGATAGTTTAATTTTGATTATGTTAACTTAGTTATTAAATCTAATTACTTTTAAGCTCAACATGGAAGACATAATTGATGATTTTTTTCCTGGTTCAAATTTTCAATCTACTGGTATTAGCTGATTCAATTCATTTGGAAAATTATTCAACAGTAAAGTTATGTCCTTTTTTTTTGTGTGTGTAATATACTTAATAATGTTCCAGTATAATAGAATTTCGATTATACGATACATCAAACGTTTGTTTATATTCTTACAACATCAAAAGAATGCAATTTGTTGTCCCGTGCATCGCACGGGTACAATTACTAGTTTCACTAAAACTTAAGAGCAAAACCAAATAAACTAATAAAAATGCCCCACCCACATAAAAAAAATATATATATATATATATATATATATATATATATATATATAAAAGGATGTTACATTGTTGTTTTTTCAAAGCCTGGAAACTGCTAGGTGACTTCATTCCTAAAGACCCACTAGTCTCTATCTTTTAATATCTCCATCACTTTATATTGTCTGCCATCTGGATATGATCGTATATTCCTTTTATTTTATTTTATTCCTCGCGCTCTATTAAGTTATTAACTAAATAGTAGAGGTCGGTAGCATTTTTGGTTGATGCGATTCGTATTAAGTCAAGCGTCGTTACTACACTTTGAAAAGACAATTAAATGTTATTATTTGTTTAAATTAGTAGCACCCTCTGCGATGAATTTTGTAGGGAATTATTGAAAGAGGGAAAATATAATTTTATCCTTAAAACAATATCTTAATTTTGTTAATCAAAACTTTTTAGACAATTCTCATTTAATACCGGAATTAACAAATTCGTATCAAACATCTTACCGAGTAAATAATTAATTAGTCAGTAGAATATTAATTCAATCTCATCTAATCCAATGTAATCCGATATAAGTAAGCAAACGAGGCCTTATTCTACTGATGCATGTAATTATTTTGTAGCATATTCTATTCCTTGTTGTTTTTGAAGAAAATTGTATCTATCCCTTCAATTGCTTAGTTAATGTGAAATGGGATAATATTTCTTTGTTCATGTTAGTATTCTCTAATTAACATTGTGAAATAATTATTGATGTCATGGTCTAGTTGATAATCAGGTTGAATTTATTAAGTTCTCGTTTGTTATCGCTATAAGGTTTTACTGACTAAATAATAAAGGCTAGTAACACATTGGTTGTCAAAATTCACATGTTCTCAAATCCGCTACTAAAACCAAGTGGCGGTTTTCAATGCTACTGTTTCATTAAATTAGTTATATCCCTCTCTCCTAAGATTAAATTAGGAGGTGATTAAACAAGTAAATTACTATTTTATCCTTCAAACTACACATTAATTTTATTAGATAAAAGGTCTTAGAGACAAATCACACATTATACTAGAATTTAATTTATTTAATACAGATCTAATCTTACATATCGAACATCATACTAACTAACTAATTAATTAGTCAGTAGAAAATTAATTCAATCTCTTCTAATCTAAAATTATCCGATATAAGTAAACATACACCCTAAGTAATAACAAAACTTTGGATATTGTAATATGAATTCATAAATACCATTATACATTTATTTTATTTCTCTCTAACTCTCCCGCACCCTCCATTCTCTATTCTTACAACCTTCTCCCTAAACTTATTAATCCACACACAGTACTCGTACGATTTACAAGTTATTATACAAAAATATAAGTTTATCCAGTGCAATTATATGGTTGAATGAAGATTCCTTCATTTAAAAAAACAAAATTCAATTCAAAAGTCATGGTCAACTTAATCCATATTTTAATTGACCACCTACTCATGTTATATATTTAAAAAATAAAATCCATCTATTAAATAAACATTAGTTTCTCTGCCAGGAAAAAAATAATTCATATTATTTTGACTGAGCTCGAAGATTCACATTTGTGGTTAGTGGTGCACAATAAAGAGTAAAGAATATCGATTACATTGATGTAACGTAATGGTTTATTTAAAGGTTATCACGTCAATTTATTTTTACAATGTTGAAAAATTAAGTCTTATACTTGATATATTCAAATTCATGATGTTATTTTAATACCACACTACAAAAGTTGAAAGTTTAATAAGAATGAGCATAGAAAAAATATATTTTAATAAAGGGACTTACTTTTTACAGTTTAAAAATTGTTATTTATAGTTCAAACATAATGCTATTTGTATCTGAACGCCCAGACCGGGCGCCCAAACCCGGCAAGCATTCCCGAACCGGACGCCTGGTTTGGGCGTTCACCGAGCACAATTTTGAAAAAAAAAACCCTATAAATCGATTTATAGGATGTTTAACATGAAATTACAAACGAAATTTCCTACCCAATGCAATAAAAACGTTTGGAGCTGAAATTATCTCAAAATATCGATGAATTTGGCTTGTTTTTGCTTGAATTCGAATTTTTTGAATCTTTATTTTTATTTTTAAATGTTTCGGTTTTGTAGGGAGGGGCAGAGAGGGTTTGTAGTGAGAGAAGCACTTTTGGGGTAGATCTACAAATAGCAAAGTTCTAACCCAAAAAACATTTCACGTTGAAAAAATCCGTCAACTCTTTATTGCTATTTAGGCCCAATAGAAGAGGGATTGATGTATGTATATTTTGATTTGGAATGGTTGGTTATATTTCATTATATGTTTTGAATTTTCTTTCACATAAATGCTATTTTTCATATACTGAGAATATAAATGACTTAAATATAATATATTATCACTTTGCACCACCGGAAAATTTTAATAGCATTTTGCATCGGCTACGATAAAACAATCAAATTGCACATTTGAGCTTAATTTTTTAAAGACTAGACAATTTCATTTTTTTAATGATTTTTTTTTGTTGGTGGAAAAATTTTGAACGCACAAGTTGCAAAAGTAAAAACATTCACTAAATTAATTGAAAGCTATTTTAGATTCTCCGAAAAAAAAACATAAAATTAACATAATTTTTTTTTTCTCAAATAATACTCATTTTATTACAATTTGTAAAAAAAATTGCTCGAATTATTTTATGAACGAAATGGCTGGAGGAATTTTTGTTAAGGGCATTTGACATAAATAAATTGAAAAATAAAATTATCATGAATAATTGCATCAATTATGTTTTATATATAAAAAAAAATTAAGTCATTTGATGGGATTTTTTTTTTCCATTGAAAATTACTAGTAATAAGAATAAATTATCATCATTGTAAATGATTTATTGTGTTTCGAGGGTGTAAAAGAATTATTAAATTTTTTTGAGGGTGCAAAATGCGAAACAAACTATTTCAAGCGATCGAGGTGGAATTAAGCCCAATATAAACAACTTATTAAGTAAATTCGACCTCAGCCACGTCAGCCGTAGTTGAAGGGCAATTTAGCCATATCCTTGGCCGTTGGCGGTGGCGCTAAGTCTGCAACTGGTGGCCAGTGAAACCTCACCACCACCACCACCACCTCTCAAATCTATTTTTGAATTTAAAAATGGCCTTCTGTGGAATTTCTATTCCATTTTCTAACCCCCATTTCCTCATTCTTCAAAATCCTTCTTCTCCAAAACCTAACAAACCAAATCCACCTCTTTCTCCGTCCCCATTCTCCACCACCACCACCGCCGCCGCCGCCGCCGCCGCCGCCGCTTCATCATCATCTACTTGTTCTAATGTTAATTCGATCGAACGATTGCCAGTTCATCCCGGCAGAAGAACGGTTAGCCTCTCAATTTCTGTTGGGTTTCTGTTATCATCAATCGAGCAGCCATTTTCAAACAAGGCACAGGCCGCGCAAATGTCGGAGCTTTACAGATACACCGATTCCGTACAAGGCTTCACTCTCCTCGTACCTTCTTCATGGATTAAGGTTCCTATTCTTTTTTCACACACCCACACACTCAAATTGGGAACTAGGTCATACTCAAATTGTTGGAGAAAAAATAATTATGCATCAATCAATTTACAATTTTTGGGATTTAGTTCAGCCTTAAATTAGGTGATTTGATTATATTTAATCAAGTCTTAGATTTGGTGATTTGATACATAATTAATTTCTCTAACACAAATTCTCAGCAATACGGTTATTTCAGCGGGTGGGTGATTTTTTACACACACAGTCTCACGCCAATGTGGGTGTGTGTGTGTTTGTGTCTATATGAATAGACCCAGCAATACACCATCTTTTGATCTGTTATATTCGAAATGCATTATAAAAATAAAACCTAATGTTATGCTTTGTTAATCCATAATTACATCCCACACAGCAAATTCGTAGCGTACTTTGTTGGGTTACTAATCCCGGGTTCTAATTAAATCTTAATCAGGTTGATAAGGCGGGGGCAACCGCCTTGTTCGAGGACGAAAACAAAAAGGCGAATAATGCAGGTGTAGTGGTGAGTCCAATCAAGATTTCGAGTCTTGGCGAATTTGGGACTCCTCAATTTGTGGCAGATAAGCTTATCCAGGCTGAAAGACGCAAGGTCCGTTTGTTCCATTTTTTTTTTATATGTTTAAAAGCGTCAGTATAAGTTATGTAATTATATTGCTTTAATTGGTACGAAGATTATTGAGGGGAAAGTCGAAATTGTTTAGGAAAGTACGAAGGAAGCAGAGGTAATATCTGTGTCGGAGAGATCGGGAGATGGAGGGATTCAAGTGTACGAGTTTGAGTACAAAGTCGATAGCACAAGGGGAGGGCTGAAGAGAGTCTTTTCTGCTGCATTTATTACGTCAAAGAAGCTCTATCTTTTGAACGTAACTCACTCCGACGCGTTGGAAAATCCTCTGCCAATTGATAGGAGAATTGTACTCGAACAAGTTCTGCATTCATTTGATTCCGCTCCTTCAACCTAGATCCGGAAAATATTTTCTTTTCAAAATAAAAAGAACGATATTCTTCATCGTGCAACGCCTGCTTCAGCTCGGAAAATGATGTAAGCTGCTCCAGTTTTTCAGATTTTGTTATACTCTAGTTCTTTTCTTCGTTTCTTGATCCCTGCAATCCGATGTGTTTACAATGAATTTTCATATGGTATATAAATATGTGATCTTTCTGTTATTGTCGAAAGCTGATTTTATGGTAAAGATAGAGCGACACCCTTTTGCGAATCTTGGCATTTTATTTCAGGTGGCATTGCTTCTGTAAGTTAGGTGATCTATTCTTGATTTTGGAACGCACAAAACAGAGCACTACATGTTCACACTCTGCTTCAACACTTGGGAGGGACAAATGACAATTGTTTTTTACTTCGTATTTTCATCCTTTTATTTGGTATCTTTATCAATGCAATGCATTCCGGCATAACAAATTTTTTAATTCTAATATTTGAAGCACGGCGCAGTAGCGGCGAAGCCAGGATTTCATATCAAATATTCATTAAAAAATAACGTAAATAAATTAAGAACAACAATCATTGTTCAAACACTGGCGGCGAGTCTAGGATGTTTTTATACGGTGAACTTCATCTTTTGGGGGTTCGGGGCAGCTACATGACCACGGTTCGGTTCCGGTTCCGGTTTCAAACCATCAGTTCCGGTTCCGATTTTGGAGGAACCGAAACCCAACCGAATATTTCCGATTCTTTGCGGTTTGGTTTTCTACGGTTCCCGGTTCCGGTTCCTGGTTAGAACCGGTAGAACCGACCGGTTCTTACCTTTTTTATTTATTTATTTATTTTTATATATAAGTTAAAAAAATACTTAATAAAAAAAACAGCTTAAAGAATACTTCAAAGACTTAAAAATTGCAACGTTGTTTTTTTTAATTACTTAAAAAAAATATTTTCTTTACTTCTAAAAATACTTTCTTACATAAATTAATATTTTTTTAAATATATGTTATTAAATTTCATAGATTTTGAGCCCTAGTGTTTTTTTGTATTATATATTGTAATAATTATCAAAATCGACTCTTATAAGAGCAACTCCAATGGGAGTATCAAATGGATTATTAAATCCATAAACCACCTTTTAGATATCCCAAAATTAATTTTTTTTTGCTCCAAAATTAATTTTTTTTCGCTCCAATGCAAAAATACATCCTGAAAATCGAGTTATCAAAAAACTAACTACCTAAACATCCAATCACAAAATTACATGTGACAATTACAAATAAAACCACTAAAAAACTTCCAATTGATTATTAATTTTGATAACCATGGTTGGACTTGGAGTAAATAAATTGTTAATGGATATTAAAATATTATCTTAATTATCAGGGTTGGACTTTTGTACCCGTTTTATCCCATTCAAACTCTACATTATAAAGCAAGATGGACATAATATGTGATTTTTAGCTTGTATATATCAGTTGTGGTGCATCGGAAACTGTATTTTTATACAAAACAAGTACAAACTAGAGCACATTTCACGGAATATAGATGATTATGTTGAATTTGGCGCCATAAGGGTGGATGTGTAAGAAAAAAACATAGATGAGGGGTTATATGTAATTATCCAAACAAGAGGGGGGTTTTTGTAATTTGACCATACCTCGGGGGTGTTTGTAATTTACCCTAATTATTAAATGAGTATTTGATGATCCAATTTTAATGTTAACCCTCGAGTGCTATATACCAAAATTGAATTATCAAATATTTCTTTGATATTTGAGATAATATTTTAATATTGATTAAAGTTCATCTACTCCAACCATGGTTATTGTCACAGGGGTTTCTTTACTCAAGAAATTTTCGTCCGTGCGGCCTGATTTGCCCACCAAATCAGTCAGCCTTCCTCTCGATTCTCTTCGTACGAAAAACGCACAAACACAAGTCTTTTAAGCCACGTAAACAATAACAAGAGTATGCAGCGGAAAACAACACACAAGCACGTTTACGGGCAATGCCCAACCTTTATATTAATTTCCCACAAAGAATACAAAGGAGACTAAGGTGCACACACAAAATCCTCACTCAGAATACCCACAATTGCAATCTGAACTCTCTAATGCTAGATTATGCTAGATGGGTCGGATTTGTGCACTCATAGCCAAATAAATACAAGGAAAATGTAGTTTTTACATAAAACTACCTAAGGACACATGGCAGCACTAACACTTGACACTTGGCCAACTATTACAAGTAATAAGGGGCAGTTTTCCATGCTTTCCAGGCCTCAATCGCTCCGTAACTTCCCTCAAATCCGCCCACAAGGCTGATTTTTGAAGCCCAACTTGATCGGGCCCGCGGGTGCGTGCCAAACGGCCCAAACAGCCCGGCCGGTTGCAAGGCAGCCCATCTGCCTTGCCTTTTCCGCACTTTTGCTTGCCTTTACCAATTACTTGCCAGTTCTTTGCCCACACGGTCTTTGGCACGCCCGCACATCGGGCTGCCTTCATTGACTTGCCAATCCGTCGTGCCAATTTGCCCACACTTGTCAAGTCGTGGTCGATTTCCTTCGAACGTTCGTTTGCCCAAGTTATCGGCCACATGCCGATTACTGCCCACGCTTGTCCGCATTTGCTGCCGAGCAATGCCCGTACCAGCTACTAGTACTTTCGATCACCGTTTCCACTTGAATCAAGCCAATTCTTGCTTTCTCGGACAAACACCTCGAATGCTTGCCCTACACTCGACCACTCATTGGCCGATTGTGTGGCTGTCTTGTGCCAATCCTCACTTGGCACCATTTCTCGGCCATGACTCGGCCACACTCGAGTCATTACAGATATCACCGATTAAGGGGGTAACAGTTATCAAGTTAATTATCAATTGAAAGTTTATGGGTGATTTCATTTGTAATTGCCACATGTCCACTTTTGATTGGATATTAAGATAGTTACACATTTGATAACTCAATTTCCAGCAAGTATTTTTAAATCTCAAAAATTGAATTATCAAAATAGAACCTAATTTGATTAAATTATTTTCAATTATAAAATTATAAATTTAATCCCATTATTGGAGTTATTAATGGTTAATCCCATTGGAGTTATGAATAGTGATTAATGGTTTGAATACCATGTTTGATAACCCATTTGGGTTGCTCCAAGTCAATAAAGTTGGTTCGAAAAATTTACACTTTTTTTTAATTATTATAAACACGTTTCGTCAATATTAAAGTTTGTTTGACTTTATAATTAATTTTAAAAATTATACTTGAATTTATTTTAATGAAATGATCTGCATATGATTAAATATATATGTGTGTGCTGTGGTGTTCTTAAAAAATAGGGAAAGAAAAATAAATAATCAAGAGAGAGAGAGAGAGAGAGAGAAAGAGAGAGAGAGAGAGAGAGAGAGAGAGAGAGAGAGAGAGAGAGAGAGAGAGAGAGAGAGAGAGAGAGAGAGAGAGAGAGAGAGAGGAAATCGCAGAATCATTCTTGTCAAAGAAAATTGAAAAAAGTGTAGTTGATCTTCTTTAAAACAACTCCAGTATGGACAGAGTATTAAATATAACGGCCGTCAATCCAAGCTGTTGTTTGTTTAGTGTTTTTTTTTGGTTGACCGAGTTATCAAAATGTCAACATCCTGCTGTCGTTGTGCCGATCGAGCTTTTGACCTTTTAGTTATGACAGCAAATCCAAGTTCAGAACTTACCTAGAGCACTTCTTGAATCAGTCAAACTCTCTCTTCCTTTATAATATGCACCTGCCAAACAACTCCTAAGTAGCCACAGTTATTTCTTGTTCTTCTTCTTCTTCTTCTGCTGTAGTTCTCGATTTTCTGAAGTCGAAGAAATCATCGGAGCTGAATGAACGAAGAAATGGACGAGTCGATCGATCCGGCCGAGAAGCGGCTCAATGAGCTTGGATACAAGCAAGAGCTTAGAAGAAAGATGGTAATAAACAATTATCTATTTTCTTTTTTTTTCTTTAGTATATATATATATATATATATATATATATATATATATATATATATATATATATATATATATATGCCCCGTTTGGTTGCTAAAATAAGCCATAATTAACCTAAATAGTTGGATTTAATTTGATGTTTGGTATCCTCAGTAAATTGCCGGGTCGAACCGCCAAAATTAAATAATCATGGATTATGTTGCCTTCTAATCAGTTTTTTTTGGACGTTTCAAGCTCCAATGAAATAATTGGGTATCATTAAATTATTTAATCTTATCTTGGCTAATCTTATCTTGCCAACCAAACGGGGTCATACTGTATTGTGTGTATTGTGTGCAGACGTTATTTAAAACACTAGCGATTTCGTTTTCGACGATGACGCTTTTCACGGGGATCACTCCGCTGTACGGTCCGAGTCTGCTGTACGCGGGGCCCGCAACTCTTGTTTGGGGTTGGGTTATCGTCTCTTTCTTCACTTGGTTCGTCGGATTCGCCATGGCCGAGATTTGCTCCTCTTTCCCGGTAATTTGTCTAATTTCATTTTCTTTTCACGTGTAACATTTAAAATTTGCTTTTTATAATTCAGATTATAAAATTGGTTCGATCCACATTGCTTCATTTTGATTTGCTAAAAGCATCGCATTTTTTCCCGAACTTGCAGACGACCGGATCGCTGTATTTTTGGGCTGCACATTTAGCCGGCCCGAAGTGGGGCCCGTTTGCATCGTGGTGCTGCGCTTGGCTCGAAACAATCGGCCTGATTGCCGGCATAGGAACACAGGTATGCACAAATTAACTAGCTTATAATATTTCTAGATGCTCTATACTTCTAAATTCACAACCCCCTTGGATTTAATTTTTTTGTTTTGCACGTTTTTCGTGTAGGCCTACGCGGGATCACAGACTCTGCAGAGCATCATATTACTGTGCACCGGCACAAATAAAGACGGAGGATACCTCGCCCCTCGATGGCTATTTCTCTGCATGTATATGGGCCTCACAATTATATGGGCTGTGCTCAACACATTTGCGCTCGAAGTCATCGCCTTCATCGACATCATCTCGATATGGTGGCAGGTCAATTTTTATAACCGATTACTAAATTTTCTTTTTTTCGAATATTGTATATTATGTCAACTTTGTCACACGTACAGTTAAACCTCTATAAATTAATACATTCGGGACTAGAAAAACTCTATTAATTTAGCGGATTATTAAATTATCAAGTTAATAATTTAACATTCTCACAGAGTCGGGACCGAAAAAAACTATTATTTAGCGAAGTTATTAATTTATCGAGGTTCTACTGTATTTTGATATGGGTGCAGGTAATTGGGGGATTAGTGATTGTGATCTTGCTTCCCCTCGTATCGCTGACTAGGCAGTCTGCTTCGTACGTATTCACTTCATTCGAAACAGCACCTGAGTCGACCGGAATATCTAGCAAACCATACGCAGCGATTCTCGCTCTTCTCGTGAGTCAGTATTCTCTATACGGGTACGATGCCGCCGCGCATTTGACCGAAGAAACAAAAGGTGCCGACAAAAATGGACCTATAGCAATTCTCGCCAGCATAGGCATCATTTCATTGTTTGGATGGGCATATATTTTGGCTCTTACTTTCAGCATTCAGGTATTTTTCCCCCCTTAATTACGACTTATGATCTTACCAACCAAACGAGGCCTTACTTGTGTTATTACAGGATCCTGCATATCTGTTTGACACGTCTAACGAAACCGCGGGGGTATTCGTGCCGGCTCAAATATTGTACGATGCGTTTTACGGGCGGTATCAAAGTTCGACGGGGGCAATTATTTTATTGTTTATAATATGGGGTTCCTTCTTCTTTGGTGGACTCTCAATAACCACTAGTGCAGCTAGAGTGGTATGTGCCTTAATTTTCTACTTATTTCATTGCTTTCACAATATGCTTTTGTGCCCATAATTGTATATTTAGGGGTAAAAATCGAACGGATTAGTTCATAATAGATACATTTAGCTCAAGAAGTGATCAACATTCCAAAGCCTACAAATTCATATTAATTCGAATTTTAGGGTAATCGGTCGGACCTTGATATTTTTTAAAAAATTTCGTAAATCGGTGGAATAATATAATAAAACTAAAATTGGATATGTATACATATATAATTGCATAATTTAGATATGTAACAATAGTAATATGATCACCTTTTTTTACAAAAAAGTTTCGAAATAAAAAATATCGAAAATTTTCGAACGCTTTATATATAATCCAATTCCTATCTAACGAATTCTAAAACTAGAGTTTAAAAAATTGTTGCAAAATCGAAATGTTTACTAACCAACATTGAGATTATACGAAAATTCTGTTCCGATTTCTACTACTAGCTACGACTCAAAAGAGCATCTCCCACAAAGTAATTATTAATAGAGTTAGAATTTTAAGTTGATGGAACCGAATACATTAAAAATATTCTGAGGAAGGACGTTAATGCTACTATACACGATTTTATTTATTTATTTTTGTATTTAAAAAAAACACTTAAACTTATTTCAACACAATAATATATATAATTAATACAGTCGTCGTGACAAATAAAATTCTATCAAGTGAAATATTAAATAAAAAGTATCGAGTATTAAGTTATCGATATTCTCCAGGTATACGCTCTATCAAGAGACAAAGGAGTCCCATACTCACAAATATGGAGAAAACTACACCGAAAGCACAAAGTACCATCAAACGCCGTATGGCTCTGCGCCGCCATCTGCATCCTCATGGGACTGCCGATCTTGAAAGTCAACGTGGTCTTCACCGCCATAGCTTCCATCTGCACGATCGGCTGGGTCGGCGGCTACGCCGTACCAATCTTCGCCAGATTGGTAATGGCGGAGAAGAATTTCAATCCGGGCCCATTTTATTTGGGCCGAGCAAGAAGGCCCGTTTGCTTGGTTGCCTTTCTCTGGATTTGCTACACTTGCTCGGTTTTCCTGCTGCCGACTTATTATCCAATCACGTGGAATACATTCAACTACGCGCCGGTTGCTTTGGGTGTTGGGTTGGGATTGATAATGCTTTGGTGGGCTGTTGATGCAAGAAAATGGTTCAAGGGACCTGTTAGAAATATCGATAATATTATTATTCCCAACATTAAAGTTTAATTAGTATTTAGTACTAGGTTTTATTATCCAGATTGATTTCTTTCTTGTTAATAGAAACTCAAGTTTTTCTTTTTTTTTTTTTTTTTTTTTTTTTGTTTTTTGTTTTTCTTAGACTTCAGCATCAGCATCATGTGTGCATATTTTTATTTGAATCTAAATGTTTACCCACGATAATGTTCTATTTGTAGACTCCGTTTGTTTGGGGAAATAAACCAAAATTAACTAAATAGTAAGAGTTAGTTTGATGTTCGATAAGTCCTACTATTTTTTATTCGGGTAGATCTGCCAAAATAATTGTCATTGCTATTATGGCTAATTGGGAGATAACTAATTGGACCTTGAGAGGTTAAATAAAATTATTGTGGCATGATTAGATATATTAATGATAAAATTGTCCTTTCTAGTTTTCATCAATTTATCACAATGACATAATCAATTAAAAAATTAAATATTAAAACAATTTGAAAAAAAATTGAAAAAATATATTTTTTTCGAAGAAAAAAGAAAACGAAAAAATAAAAAAAATATTTTTCCAAAAAAAAGTTAATAAAAAATATTTTTCGAAATAAAATGAAAAAATACATTTTTTTTTCGAAAACAAAATCGAAAAGATAAAAAAATATTCGGATATTTGTAAGTAATTGGGTTGATTTTAAAGAAACCACTATTAAATAATGGGAAGATAAAAAATTCAAGTTTTGATAACAAACATCTTATAAAATAATTGCCCTATAATATTATAGGGGAAATTATCTTATCTTGGCAACCGAACCGGGCCGTATTGTATAGTGTACACATTAATTCATTCTAAAGAGTACAGTTGGGGCTAAATACCTAACATGCAAGTGCACGTATCGCAAACAAGTAGTAAAAGTAGACTCGTAAGAGTCGGATGTCGATCCTACAGGGAATACTAAAATTATCTAATCCTAAGTACCAAATTCTAACAATTATGATTTTTATCCAGCCTACGCAAAATTGTCAAATTTAATCAACTAAATAATTAAACTAATTATAAAAGCAAATAATCACGAGAAAATATCAATATAAAAACAGATCTAGGATTTTATCTCCCCCCTATGCAAGAATTGCTCACCCACAACCCCTCAATTATGAAATATATGATTCCTGATTATTAACCCGAGACACTAATTTACTCATAACCCGTTGTCGCATGTATTATGAGTCTATTATTCATAAACTGTTCACTATATGTCTATGCAAACCAATTATGAATAAAATATTAACTAACAAGTTTCGTAAATGGCTACCTAAGGTGATATATTTGACACACTCATCCGGTGAAAACTACTCGAATGTTCTTTTACTTACCGTGTAATTATCAAAACTACTCGAATGTTCTTGATTGAAACTCATTGAGTGTGGGAACAGTGTACTCATGCAATGCTCGTTGACGAGGTGGTGGATTAATTAGCTGAAGTTGCTCTTTCTCGTTGACGATATTTCCTGCCGCATTCTGTAGGCGCCCTTGGTCATCTCCCCTACGATTATTCTCTTCTTCCATTGTTGCGGGAACGTTTTGAGCTACCCGTTGATTTCTACTGGCGTGCTTAACGTTCGCTCAATTTCGGGATCAAAAGCTATCAATTTCGTGTCGTGTCCTTTTCGCATAAAATGTACCTAAAACAAAAATAATAAAAATAAAATAAGCAAATAGAATAATAATAAATAAAAATGGTTGACGTAAGAAAAATTGCTAAAATTTAATATTAGGATAAATAGATAATTTAGCCGTATTCCCGGCAACGGCGCCAAAAACTTGTTGGGGATAAATACCTAACACGCAAGTGCACGTATCGCAAACAAGTAGTAAAAGTAGACTCGTAAGAGTCGGATGTCGATCTCACAGGGAATACTCAAATTATCTAATCCTAAATACCAAATTCTAACAATTATGATTTTTATCCAGCCTACGCAAAGTTGTCAAATTTAATCAACTAAATAGTTAAACTAATTATGAAAGCAAATAATCACGAGAAAATATCAATATAAAAACTGATCTAGGATTTTATCTTCCCCCTATGCAAGAATTGCTCACCCAAAACCCCTCAATTATGAAATATATGATTCCTCATTATTAACCCAAGACACTAATTTACTAATAACTCGTTGCCGCGTGTATTATGAGTCTATTATTCATAAATTGTTCACTATATGTCTATGCAAATCAATTGTGAATAAAACATTAACTAACAAGTCTCGTAAATGGGTACCTAAGGTGATATCTATATGTCTACGACACCACATGCAATCGGCACACTCATCCGGTGAAAACTACTCGAAGGTTCTTTTACTTACCGTCTAATTATCAAAATAGCTCTGTCGAGTCAATCCCAATAATCACAGATAAAGCACATAAATTGATCAGGTTCATGCACTAACAATCATAACAAGTAGAAGAAATAATCATAAAATCAAAATTGCATAATCTCAAGAAAACGGGTTCACCATCCCCACATAGGGTTCCAACAAAATCCTAGATTAAAAACTTAGCTACTCATGTTCTCCACGAAAAACATAATAAAAGTAATAAAAGTCATATATTAAGAAAAGATAGGTAAAAGAAGAATTATGATGAAGATTCGTCAGGTCTTTGTCTTCGTTTCTCCGTTTTCTCGCTCCTCTTCCTCTAAGATTGTGTTCCAAAGTTCCTTAATTCGTGTTTGGTTTGCGCTTAAATAGATGTCCCAACTTGGTAGAAGACTTTAGGTTTCCTTGTGTGATTAAAACTCCAAAATTGTCTCCAGCGCGTTTTCACACGGCCGCGCGAGAATCAGTGCAATTCTCACACGGCCGCGTGAGAATTGCCGAAACCTTCTGCCCTCATTCTGCAGTTGGCGACATTGCCTAATAATTTGCCTACAAAAGAGAAGAAAAATATTATTAGCAAATAATTATATAAAGTTATGTAAAGAGTAGTGTGTGTGCAACTAGCTAATTTAAATTGGAGTCTAAACCTATGATTAACAATTATATATATAAGGATTACATTATTGAAATCACATTAGTATTTCCTACGAAAACCTATGATTTATTGAATAATAATTTTATTGTAACGTAGTGAAAATAAAGTTATTGAAATATAAGAAAACCGGCCGGCCAATTAAGAATCCCTCCTCCGACAAGCTATATACCTCAATGAAATAATGGTTGAATTGAAATAATAATCCTAATTAATAAACTAATTATGTAATATTCCTAACAGAATATCTATGTTGCATGATTCCATAGTAATATATAATTGAAAACAACTTATATATATGAAAGATGAATAACCAAGGTTACATGATCGATGAATGAACGATCGTTTGGGTCAATCTCAAAACACCAATGAAGAGTTATTAGTACAGACCTTCTGTGTAATTTCTAATTGTCAAAAAAAAAAAAAAACCTATGTAAAAAGATTTAGCATTACGCCCCCATGTTACGGTTTACAAAACACACAACTCCTTACATTAATATTGTTTTTTGACTTATATAAAATGACAAAATTACCCTGAATGATTTTAAAAATTATTCAATTTAAATAAACAAAATGAATTTTTGTTTATATTAAATAGAAAATAAAAATATGAAACTTCTATTGGACCTTACAAAAATTATGGGGTGAATTTATAATTTTCTAAATTTATGTTTTAAAGGGTATTTTGATCTTTTCAGGTCAAAAAACATAGCCCAAGTGGCGAAAACTGCACATTCAGCTCGTTCGGGCCTTATTGGCTCTGACTAATTTTTATAGGGGATGTTTGCTAATATTTTTAACACGATGGCTTTTTTAACAATTAGAGATTACACATGGTTGAATTTTGCAAAAACTTGTGAAAAGAGAGAGAGCGCTTAAAAACTACAAACCGATTTCGCTGGCAACACTATGAAAAACGAGGGCTACGGATCCGTTCATCTTCGCTGCTTGAAACTCCAGAAAAAGGATGAGAGAGAGAGAGAGAGATGCGTGAGATGAAAAAAGGGTTTCTGCTACAAGTATATATAGATGTTGAGAAGGTGATCAATACTTGTCCAATTCAGCTACTAAATACTAATCCTAATAAAACTCAATAACCTCAACTAAACTTAATTAATTTAGACTATGGCCCACGTTTGGAGTATTTAATTATATTGAAATCTCTTCACAATTTATAAAATGTATACATATTTTAAATTTTTAAAAGAGTTCATATATACATCAAGTTGAGAAGTCAATATATATACCTTAGGAAATGCATAAGAACTTAAATATAAATAAACATTAATTTCTATCTTGTTGTAAAATGGTCTACCCCTTTGTTAAAACACATAAACATTTAAATAATGAAAATAGAAACTGAAATGATTTACGGGGCAGCTAATTTACGAATGTCGTTCACAATAGTCTTCTCTTTTTCTCTCTAAAAATCCTCAAATCCACCCAAACCCCAAATTCCCCAAAAGCCCCAAAATTCACAAAAACCCTCAACCTCTCTCACAAATCCTCCCAAATCCGAAAATCTCGTCAATTTGAAAGGTAATTAATCATCTGAAGTAGTTATATATATTGAATTTTTGGTTAATCATGTGAAAAATCCATGAAAATCTCGATTTGGGGTTGTTTTTAGTGTTGGGTTTTCGAATTTTCCATGCCCAAAATGGGCGTGGGAAAGCAGTATCCACGCCTGGTTTAGGCGCCGGTTCTGGACCGGTCGTCCGGTTCAATTTTTTTTTTTTGCCCAGTATAACAGAAATGAACGAGTACATTTAAATAAGTATTAAACAAACTTGTTGTAGCCTAGTCGGTCAGGCATTTCGTTTATTGTATAATGGACCCGTGTTCGAGTCTCGGTAGCAATGTTTATTTATTAATTTTTTGCCAAGTTGATTCTTGTACATAATGCACCCGTGTTCGAATCCTTAGCAGCACAAATATGTATGATTTTTTTTTTAAACTGTCAGCACGCGCGCCCTAACCGGGCGCGAAAAATACTTTTTCGCGCCCTAACCGGGCGTGAATCGAGATTTTTTGCGGCTAGTTTGGTCGTGAATCGTATTTTCCGGCGTCCAAATTGGTTGTGAGTCGCGTTTTCGCGATTTAAAGAACAAAAACGAACAAATTTTACCTCATTGGGTTCCGTATCTCGATCCTCATTCGATGCACTCATTTTTCTTTGCAAATCGCTACAATAACACGGGTTTTGGAACGATTTCCAATATAAAAGCTATTAAAAATAAAATTGTAGAGAGAGAAAGATAAGTAGAGAGTGGATTTTTTAAACCCGCATTCGTAATTTTGCTAGCGCGAATATCACATCCCAAATAGAAATAAACAGAATGTTACAACACAAGAGAGACGATTCGCAGGGCCGGTCCTGGGGTGGGTGAGCAGGGCCCACGCCCAGGGCCCAATATCGTAGGGGCCCGAAATTTTAATTTTTTAATATATATATATATATATAATCTTAAGATGCAGAAAAAAAAAAAAGCCGGACGTTGCCCCCCAAACTACGAACAATTATATTCTCGGCCCGGCCCCCGAATATGCCGGACCGGCCTTGACGATTCGTAGAGAGATAATTGTGGAGTTTAGATGGGAAAGATAGTCTTACTCGTTAATATATGTGTAAAACCACCGAGAATTTAGAAGATGTTACAATCTCATTAAGAGGTTAGAACATCTCCAATGCTAGACTCAATCTCTAATACTTAGAGTGCGACATAGGATACTTAGATATATTTGTTAAAAAAACATCTCCAATGCAAATCTTAAGAAAAATCTCCAAATGATGTGGCGATGAGGTGGCACTTGTGATTTTAGAGACTCTTAAGATATATGACACTCTGAAATTGGAGTGTCATTTTGAGGATCTCTAAAGTGTCAAGTCATCATTTAATATATTTTTTTCTTTTACTTTCTATTAAAAAAATTAATATAAATAAATTATCTTCAAACCGTAGATGAATTTCACCATAGCTCTACTCATTTTCCACCTTCTTCTACACTATTTTATTGAAATTATATGTTTCTTTGGAGATTCGACTTTCAGGTAAAAACACTAATTAATTACTTAATTTTTCTTAACAATAATTTTCTCAAACTTTAATCAGTTAAATTAATGTGATTCATCTTATCTAAAATAAATGAAGCATACGGGCGTACGTGTGATCTATAGAAATTGCTAGTTTGTATACAATATATGTTCGTGGTTTAACGAAAAGGAAAAATGTCAATTTAAATTTTGTTCATTAAAATATTTAAATAATGAATGTTTACAAATAAATATCTTATCTATGAAATAAATTTGAATAAACGGTACTGGTATTAAATCAAGAATGAAAACGGAAATTACAAGTTTTTCTCTGTTTGCCGGAATATTTTCTTTAAATAAATTAATGATTTTGATTTTAATTTAAAAACCTAATAAGAAATTACACATAAGGAACTTTTTGAGTTTTGAGTGTTACGTTGGAGAAGACTTTGCAATAGAGAAACTCAATCTTGCCAAATAGAATTCAGAAAATTTTAAGATTCACATTTGGTACTTAACACCTAGGATTTTTGGAGTTTTTCTTGAGGTTAGCATTGGAGACACTCTTACATGAAGTTACAAGCTAAGCGCTTAGAGACAAGCAATATAAATTATTAAAAAATACAAACACTACTGAAAAAAAAAGACGTTTAAAATCTTGAAATAGATAAAAAATTGATTGAATAACTCAATATCTAACTAATTATAATTGTTCTATAATATTTTATTCACATCAAATGCAATTAGTGTAAAAAAAATCTACAACTATGTAAAATAATATATTTATAGTTATTTTGAACTATTTATATATTTTAAATATCATTTAACACTATAACTTGTATTTATAAAAAGTACAAAATATTATTTGGGGCCCCTATTGTTTTTTTCAAAATCGAGGACCCGAGACAACCGTCTGTTTTACCTATAGTCAGAACCGGCCTGTGTATAAATCAAAGAGAAAAAAGCAAAAAATACTATCGATGACATCAAGATTCCACAAGCCCGTGTTATGATCAATAATGTCGACACCTTGTATGGAAACACCGAGTGTATGGGTCTTGGTGTGTAAATCGTCGTACGTCATTCACTCGTAATCCATGGATCGACCGTTTCCAATTCGGATTCCTTCCCTAAGTTGTGCTCGGGCTGTGAGAACGCTATGCCATGGGCACAAAAATTTATTCCTAATGGAGGAAAAAAGAAAGGGGCCATAAGATATAGGTCTTTGGTGACAAAACTTATTAGAACTAAATGACAAGTTCAACTAAAGTTTTGCTTCACATCTTATTCATAAAATGGCCCTCCACTTCAAAATTCGAAATTTGCATTAAGTAATTCAAATTGCATTTATCATTTTTTATTATGTATATAATATTTTTCATTTTTCCATCCCGACGTTTTTAAATTTGTTTTTACAAAATACCAGTTTGTCTTTTTCTCTTTCGTAATTTTAGCCTTTTATACGCTATTATAAAAAAAAATTCATTTTTTTCTATGTAACATTGAAAACTATTTACTTATTTTTCAAAAAAAAAAATATTTTATCTTCTATCAATAAATATAATTATCTATAGTCACCGTAGTCACTATTGTGCTTGTAGGTATCTAAAACTTGAATTTCACTTCATCGCACATCATCTGGCTGTTCATATATAGTACAAGAGCCTGTAGTAGACTAGGGTATACTACGTATAGTCTACTACAGTGTACTATGGTATACTACGTTGTAGTCACCAATAATTTTCAGTTGTCGCCAACCCTAGCGGTCAACACAGACCCCGTCGATCAAACCCTAGCAGCCAATTACAGTCACACGCCACGACCGTAATCACCTACTCCTTTTGGAAAACCTAGATTTGCCATTTTGAACCCTAACATTTGCCGCCACACAATCATATCGCCCTAAGAACGTTGTCAATGGCATGTAACAAGTTTAATAAAATAGCAAATTAGACAAACCAAGAAAATCTCTTAAAGATCAATAAAATCGTATGCAACTAGTCAAAATATACTTTCAGAAACATATCTATACAAAAAAATGAAGAATGTGAGCAATTAATTATAAAAAAAAAAAAAAAAAAAAAAAGAAAAAAAACTTGCTCTCCCCGTAAATATTTGAGAAACGTGAATATATGTACTTTATAGAATTAAAAGTATAAGGGCAAGATAGGAATAAACAAAATGAGGGATGTGAGTCATATATTATTTCAAACTAAGGATTTAATTAAACTATTAGATTTAGATTTGTTATTTAGTTCAAATTAGTTTTCATTTGAGAGGCTGATAGCATATTACCAAAAAAAAAAAGGCCTTGTTCTTCTTCCTAATTGCTATAAATTGGGGTGAAGGTCAAATATTAATTTTCAATATCGGTCGATTCCGACTCGAAGGGATTTCCAAAATTTTGGTTTTTGACTTTTCCGAAGTTGAATTGTAAATTTATGTAGATGTTTTGGAATTTTCGATTTGTAATCCTGTTTTAGTTTTCAAATTTTTTTTCTCCGAATTTCTTATTTATTTTGTTATTATATATATTACATAGTTTATGATGGGGCTCAATTAGCCGCATACAATAATATAGGTTTTCCTTTTTTATTTTATCCGATAGGTTATTAGATTTGGTCACAAATTTGAATGTTCATACCTTGTATATTTTGAAAGACTTATTAAATAATGTAGACAAGATAATGTATATGGAGGGTCCAATGTATTGATTTCTTTTCTCTCTACATAAACTAGTATATATACCAATACAACATGGGCCCTGATTGGGCTTGTTTACATTTTCTAGGTACAAAAGTCGTCATCCTGTCAACTCTGCCACATGGCGAATTCTTATTGGTCCATTTCATTGTTCCTCAGTCAGTTCAAGCCTGCCACCCATCCTTTACCTCTCAGAATTGTCCCCTGCACGACTCTCGAAATGCCGACGTGACACTTACTTCGTCCGTCGTGGAATTTCATTGTCAGCCTATCTCGCATGATTTATACCTCGTTCATTACCCCTTGCGGTCTATCATGAATTTGTGGTATTGGGCTTCCTTCAACTTGACTTGGGCCCTCCCTCTGGGCCCAAGTCGGGTCTGATCATCTGGGCTTTACTTAATTGGACTTGGGTCTTTCCTCTAGGCCCAAATCAGTCCGGATCAGTTTACTTAGTGAAAAATAATTAAACATCTAATTGTGATATTTATACAAATTAAAATTTTGATAATTCATATAATTTCTTTCTTCCCCTACTTTAAATTTTGTATCTATATTTTTGTTATATCGTTATCCGTAATAAATTTGAATTATATAGTACATATATGATATATGTATAACTCTACTTTTTCCGAGTCATTGGTAAACACAATTTGTTCCCTTACGTAATTAGGTTTCAATTCAATCCTCATCCTTCAACAACTCTACTTACATATTTACAACCCCTATATATTCCAATTCAACTCAGTCGTAAAGAAAAAAAAAAAACACTAACAAATCAAGGAGGAAAAAGAAAACAAAAAAAAAAGTTAAAGAAATTACATACCGGCGCCGTATAATATGGAATTCCCACGTGACAAAGGCCAATATGTCTTGACCGCCACCATAGGCACGGCTGAGTTCGCCACCATGCACAAGGCCAAACACGTGAATCCGGCCACCGGAGAAGAGTTTCCGGTGGGAATCAAGATCGTCCGCTTCGACAAAATCAAAGACGACATATACTTTATGACGGGAGAATTACGGCAAGCCAAAACGTGCGACGGCCACGAGAACACGGTCAGCGTCCACTGTTCCTTCACGACTTCCCCGGATAATCATCTCTGGATAGTCATGACCCCGCTGCCCGGCTTCTCGATCCGGTCAGTCATCCGGTCCTCTTTCCGACATGGGCTGCCCGAGAAATCGGTTACCTTCATCCTGAAAGAAACCTTAAAAGCCCTAGTCCACATGCACGGGAAGAACATTCTGCACCGCTACATCGGTGCAGACTGCATCTTCCCGTGCAGCGGGGAGGAATATCCCGGCACGATCAAATTGGCGCTCCGGTCACTCTCGTACCGCCCGAGTAAGGAATCTCCGGGCGGCTGCTACCCTGATTGGACAATCGCCCCAGAGTTTAGCGAGACCCACGGTGGGAAGTGCTTGAGTGTTAGCACTAAAGAAGGCGATGTGTGGATGTTTGGTTTGCTTGCCCTGGAATTGTTTTACGGGCGGATTCCGGGTTCGGATTCAGGGAGATTCGAAAAGTTGCTAAAGAACAAGATGGTTCCGGTGGGTTCTAGTTCAAGGTTTCTCGGGTGTTGTTTGAATGGAGGGGAGAGAAAGGAGATGCCGGAGCAGCTGAGAGAGGTGGTGGCGGCGTGTCTTGCCGATAGACCGGGGAAGAGGCCGACGGTGAATCAGTTGATGGAGGAGTACGACTTGTTCCGAGTCGACTTTCCCGAAGGGCTACAGGGTTTGGAAAAACTGAACAAAGCTTGCAAGAACATGAGGTGATTTAATTTTTTATCATAGTAGAGGGTTAGGGCTAATAACTAGTTATGGTTTTATTAATTTTATTTTTATTTATTTTTTCATAAATCTTGCGTACCTCGATTAAATAATAGTTTCGGTCCTCACTCGGTGAAAACATGTTAAATTATTAATTCGATAATTTAATAATTCGCTAAATTAATAAAAATTCCCTAGTCCGACTATATTAATGTATAGAGGTATAACTGTAATTCGTATATATACACATATTTAATGCCTTCAATCTTTACTCAAACAAGCCAATATATTGTATATATATAATCTGCCAAAATGTACTTAATATATAATCTTTTACATCTATATATATCCTAGAGTAAAAGGAAGCACAAAACATCATTAGGCACAAGACACAAACATAAACACCCTTGTCCGAAACTTCTAGAACTTTTCCCTTACCATTGCAACCGGAAAACGAGGCGGCAAAAGCTGCAGCCGAGCTTTAACCTCCTTCCACTCCTCTCTAAACAAACTATAGCTCGAATTCTTCGCCAGCACATCAACCGAAACCTCCTTCCTTTCGATCAACCCACGAGCGTACGCCTCGAACTTCTCGATCTTGTCCACCAAAACCAACTCCCTCCCTTGATCAACTTCACTCACAACGCAGTACACGCAATCTCTCGCCTCCTCCACTCGAGCCCAGAAGCAAGAATCTTGAGTCAAACCCGCAAACTTGCTTCTAGGGTTTCCCTCTTCGTCCCCGATTTTTCTATCCCTCCACCACTTATCGAAAACCCTAAACCTCTTCTCCCTCCCATTCTCAATATAATGGCCCTTCTTCTTGTGAATTTCGGTTCGATAGTACTCGGCGATTTCCAAAGGCTCGACAAGTAGCTTGTAGGATTGAGACGCGTTTACGTATTTGACGAGTTTGTGGAAGTCGTGAGCGAGTTGATTTGTCTCGAGCATGTGAATCACTTCGTCCCAGAATTTCCCGAGGCGGGTGAGGTTCATGTACACTTTGGAGCCTTTTCTTGAAGCGGTTCTTCGCTTGAACGAATCGTAGTACCCTAATTGGTCGTCGGAGTTGTCGCAGAATGCTTTGTACCACTCGATTTGGGCTCTTAGTGGAGTGACTTTGGATAAAGAAACGGCCATTTTAGCGGTGTAGATGTTACGCCTACACCCCAATTGTCTTGCCATTACAATACAGTCTTTTCCCACCCCGTAGAGTACTGGTTCCTGTCGGAGAAGCACGAAAAAGAAAAAGACATAAAAAAATTGTTAGTAAAAAAAGAGATAATCTATGTTAATTATGTTAATCACTTGCACTATCCTCAAATCTCTAATTTGTAAAAATTTGGGTAAATAACCAACACCTCCTTGAGGTAAGGCAAAATTACAAAAACACCCTTCTAGTTTGAATAATTACATTTACCCCCTTGAGGTATGCGTCGTTTAAAATTTCCACCCTCTCGGCATCAATAATAAAGAATCTTTCGTATTCCAAGAATATTCCTTAAAAAAATAAGACATTTTACTGATTCTGTTAAAAAAAAAGTTGACAGGTCCCTAATTTGAGGGGTAAATGTAATTGCGATAATAGGAGGGGTTATTTTGTAATTTGACCTTACTTCGAGGGCATAGTAATTCATAATTAATTTCAATTTTTTTAGTAATTACCTGAAAAGATATTCCTGATGAATGCAACGCCAAAGCAATCCCTGCTTCATTGCTCGACTCCGAAAAGCACACGTTCGTCAAGCTTTTTCGTTGCAAGTACTGCCAACAAATTCGCCCCACATAGTTCTCGTATTTGAGATGGTCCTCCACACAAGCGTTAGCCGAACCCTTAGCCAGCATCAAATAAAGCATCTTCACAATAGCCATTCTGTTATCCAAACAAATCGCCCCGTTTTCCGTGCAGAACATATAGCTCCCAAACGGCCAAAACGAACCCCGTTCTTGATTTTCGCCTCTTCGAAACCTATCTTCAACACAAGCCAAAATATTACCGAATATTTCAGCTTTGACCTCATCGGACAAAAGGGAATCGAGTTGAATGCTATTAGGCGAAGAAGAAGCCATAGATGACTGCCAAAAGTGGAAGAGGGCATGAAAGTGTTCGACGAAAGGAGATGGCGGTGCGAATAGCAATCTCGGCACTAAATCATGCGGGCCCACGACATGGCAGAAATTCCCGCACCACCGTTCTTGGAGGATGGCTTGGGAAAAGGATTTGTTTCCGAGCATCGGGGAGCCGTACGTTATGCACAAAACCTCGATCGAAAGAGAAGTGGTCTGAATAACCGAGAGGAGCCAAAGGGCAGAGAGTGAAGCAAGTGCACCTCCTAGAGAGTGACCGGTGAAAATTACCGATTTGCACTCGTTCATTATTTCGAGCATCTGCATCAATAATATTGGATATAGTATAACGTTAAATAACAATAACGGAATTTTTTTTTTCTGACGAATTTTTGTAACCAAAAATTTGTTCGAATGGTGGATTTCAAGTTATCGTGTACAAGCATCTCATGCACAAGGTGCAACGTGTCTAAAGAAAATACAACTCGAGTTTATAAAATTCATACAAACATTCTGAGTAGTTGTATTTAGAGCAAGGAAAAAATATTATTTTTTTGTGTTCTGTAATATTCAGAATCTTTCGAGGAAATAATGATCGATGTGGGGTGTTCTTGAAACAGTATTAATTAAAACTAATCACTAACGAGAACGAAAATAGAAGTCGAATCTAAATTGCATATGCTTTTAACTATGTAAACACTTTACATTTAGACTGTAACATTGTACATCAAGTCATCAACCATTTGCTTCCTACATCAAGATAGAAATCCGAACATTTTTTCTTTTCTACAAATTAAAAAAAAAATTGCTTTTTAACTTTTAACTGTCAGTGCAATATATATATATATATATATATATATATATATATATATATATATATATATAATTTCACTGTTTCTCCAAATGTTCTACCAGTATATATATTGAGCTAATAGCACAGACCTCCGTGAGTTTTTAATTCTCGAAAAACCCCTTGTGTTAAAAACATTAGCAAGAAATCCCCTCATGTTGTGTTTTTTAAAGCACACCGGTCCGTATTTCAAAATTTATTGTTGACTTTTTTGAAATGACCAAATTACCCTTACCAAAGAAATATCAAAAAAGGAACAAGAAGGAACCAAAAAGAATTTCAGAGATTACACAATAAGCTATTAGGGGTTTATTTGGCTTTGACTATTTTTTACTAACACAGTGAGTGTTTTTCGGAATTAGAGATTACACCCGGGGTAGTTTTTGCAAAAAAAAAAAAAAAACCCTTATATACAAATTTTGTAATAACTGTGAAAGGGACTAGGAATAATTTAGCAAGACTTTGAGGATGATTATTTTGACCAGCCATGCCAACCTATGACAACACACCACTTGTCATTTTCTTTTTTCATTTACTTTTTAATTGATTAAATATAAAAATGTATTATTACATCTATTACCCATATGTCTATTAACAGACAAATATAGGTTATTTAACTTTCTTGATGATTCAAAGCAACATCAATTCAGCTAGGTAGGCCATTTATTTCCAGAATACTCCAAAACCAGACAACTAATCATATATCAATTTGTGGCTATATATTAATCACATATAACAAGACATCTTACTTTTTAAGCAGCCTCTCAGGGGCTTTTTAGTAAATTCACATACTCCATTCTTGAAACTAATACATTGTATATAGATAGGGCTCAGCAAGTGTGAAAGGTTGGATCTTTATTGTCTTCATACAAAATATGTCACTTCAAGAAAACAATTAAATGGAAAAATGTAGGTCCTACTTGGAGTTATTTCTAAATCATCTCTATTTCTACCATATATATATATATATATATATATATATACTGTTTCAAAAAAAAAAATATTATTATTATTATTATGTTTATTTATTTTTTTGGTGGGAGAATGATTCGGATCTAGTTGATAGTAGAAGGCTCTCTGGTGGGATTTTCACGGACGGTCAATTAATCTACTATTCTTTTGGTGAGGACCACGAGGGGCCATGCCCCCCCTTAAATTTTACTAATTTTTTTCACTACAATATATGTATATATAATTTATTATTTTTGTATTATGCTCCTATAATTTTTAATATTTTAATTTTATATAAAAAATAAATAACAATAATAAATGAGTTTAACAAGTAGCATAAGGAAGTTACCAATTGACAAAACCAGACGTAGGAAAAGAAAAACCTAAAATTTTACTATGTTACACCTATATATTTATTAAGTCTACCTAAAATCCAAATTAATAGAAGAAAAAAAAAATCTTAGGTTTTTCTTTTCCTATGTCTGGTTTTGTCAAAAAAAAAAACCTTTTTTTTTCGAGGGAAACCGAATGCCCGAATTTTAACTCTATCATGTAACAGTATCCTAGACTCACCATAGACTCGCCACTGTTGGAACAATTATTGTTATTATTATCTTTTACGTTATTTTTAATGCGCATTCGGCCGCCCTTACTAATTGTAAGAAAACTAATTAAAAGAGACAAGTGCTCTTAGAAAATGAACATCCTAGTATATGAAGTGGTGGTCCATACTCCAAAGCGTCACTAAGTCTCGAAAAAAGTTAGGCGGTATGTAAAACAAGTCTTAGTACATACTCCCTCCGTTCCTAAATAGGTGTCGTTTTTCACCTTGGCACAAATCTTAAGAATCTCAATAAATATGTCTTGATTTTAGGAAAATAGATATTGATGGACCAAAATACCCTTATTTATTAATTAATGCAGGAAGAGTGCTATAAAGTTAATAAGGGTAAAATTGAAAAATAAGCAATTAATGCAGCATTGGAATTGTGAAGTGACAGATAATATGGAACAAAAAAATTCTCAATAAAGACAGATATTATGGAACATAGGGAGTATATATATATATATATATTGGTAACAGTAAAAAAATTGAGGGCGGTTAAATGATTCAGTTCACTAAAAGTTTGAGCTTTTACCGACACTTTTAAAATGGCTTCATTAAATATTATGTGTTCTATCATAATGCAATAAAATTAAATTTTTCGAAAAATCTGGCGAGCTCGGCTTATTTAATCACTCCACAAAGCATATGTAGTTTCAAATTACCGTACATAAATCCAATTAATGATTTATGCTGCTCAAATAATGAATGAAAATTCAAAATTACCACATGTATTAAAATTAATAACTTTACATTAAGTTAATTACAAAAATGAGTGCAATTTAATTTAATTTAATTTAATAAAGAAAAAGGAAAAATAGCAGAAAAACTAACCTTGTGTTGGAAATTCTGGGTGTAGTAGAAGTTGAGGAAGAGGCGGAGCAGCCCGCCGTGAACCATGAACGGTTCTTGATCCCCTTCCGCGCGGCCGCCGGAGAACACACTGAAAACCCCCTTCGCCGCACCCCCCTCCAGCTCCGCCAAGCCCCGGCAGCTCTCCTCCGAGCAGTCCACCACCTGCACGCCGGAAAACGCCACGTACGCCGCCGTCCCCACCCGATTCACGGCGAAGCTCTGCTGCGCCGCCGCGTTGGCGACGCCGCACAGCCGCCACGACTCCTCCAGGAGGGGCGTCGACGCCAGATACGCCGCCAGTGTCTCGCTCGACTCGAACCTGCATCACATCGATCATCAGTCAAATCATATATACAATTAATTAATTGTCTGAAAAATGGGCTTTCTTGCAATTGTTTAGACAATTCAAAGTCAAAATTCAAGACCGAATTTTGATTTATTTAATTATTTAATCTTTACTTACTGAGAAGTTTCGGGTTCCATTGAAGCTTCTGATTCCCGAGTTTCTTTACACAAGTGTCACTCTGTACTTGTTCTTTTGAAGTATATATTGTACGAAGTTCAAGCGTGGCCTCTTATTTTGGATAATTTGCAATTTGCCCCCCTTGAAAATGTTAAATAGAATATCTACACCGGAATTAGGTTGGTGTTGACCCAAATAGACCCCTAACCATTTCTCAAAAAGTTGGAAATAAATTAATTAGATGGTGAGATTCTTTTTATCATAATCCTTCAAACGTTTAAACTCGGAACACTGGATCATATATCGTGTGCTGATGGCAAATTTAGTGCCGTTTGGCTAAACTTATTTTAAATAGCCGATAAGTTTGTATGTCTGATAAGTTGTTTAAATGGCTGATAAATTGTTACTTCTTATTTTAGAATTAATTTTTTAAGTTTGGATAAAGAGCTTATGAGTTTTTTTTAATTATTTTTACTCATTATAAGATCTTAAATAAAAATGTGGAGTATATGCATTGTTTTAAAAAGATCTTAAACTTCTAAGATTTTTTTTTTTTTCAAAAATTTACCAAACATTTTGAAAGAGTTTATAACCTCTTACATCTTATAAGTGTTTTTTTAAACAGCTTATAAACTTACACCCATTGTAACATTTACCGGGTATAACATAGAAATAACCTAGTAAACCTATGTCTTATGTGATTGTAAATACAATTTTAATTTTGGGAAAATTACAACCACCCCCGAGGTATGTTTAAATTACAAAAAAAAACCTCCTGTTTGTGTCAAATTTAGTGGAATATTTTAGATTGTATGGAGAATTCTCAATTTTGTACCCGTTTTATCCCATTCAAGTCCCACATTTTGAAGCATGATGGTCATAAGATGTGTTCTTTGGCTTGTATATCATACTCTGGTGTGTCAGAAACTGCATTTTTACACAAAACGAGTACAAACTAGAGAACATTCCACGAAATCTAGAAGATTATGTTGAATTTGACACAATATGGGTGGACGTGTAAGAAGATTCATAGTTGAGGGGTAGTTATAATTATCCAAACATGAGGGGTTTTTTCATAATTTGACCATACCTGAGGAGTTGGTTGTAATTTACCCTTTATATTTTGTTTCTCTTATAAAATAAAATGTTCTTTTAGTTATAAATTCCTAACGCTACATGTTTTAATCTAAAGGGGTAATGGCAAATAGGCCCATGACAAGGGCACTTAATTAAAAGAGGGACATCCAACTTTTTTGTCTTTCAAATAAATCCAGCTCATTCAAACTTATTTGCAAATAAGGAAAATCCTTTTATATATATCAAAATTACCCCCAATTCATTGAAATCCAATTTAACTCCAATTTCATAATTTACACCCCAATTTAGCCCAATTTCATCAATTAACCAATTTTAACCTTAATTTCAATTTTGACCTGCCACCACCGGAGACCGCCGGTCGCCGCCGTTGACCGACGGAGACCGTCGGTCTCCGGCGTTGACTTTTTTTTTTTTTTTTGAATTTTTTTTTTCCTGAATTTTTTTTCCGGCCGGTCAACTGCCGTTGACCGCCGGGTCTCCGGCGTTGACTTTTTTATTTTTATTTTTAATAATTTTGTTTTTTCTTAAAAAAAATATTTTAATTAATATTACTTTCTTGGCTGCAAAATTACTGTCTCCGGCAGTTATTTAACTGTTAATTGACTCTTTTGTTTTTTTTTTTCTTCAAAAATATTTTAATTAATATTACTGTATTCGTTGCTAAATTACTATCTCCAACAGTTATTTAACTGTCGGAGACAGTAATTTAACTGTCTTAGACAATAATATTAATCATATTAATGTTCGAAAAAATAATATTCATAATACTACTGTCCCAAACAGTAATATTACTGTCTGAGACAGTAATTTAGTAGCCAAGACAGTAATATTAATTAAAATATTTTTTTCCGTTGACCGGCCGGAAATAAATTTCAGGAAAAAAAAAATTTCAAAAAAAAAAAAAAAAAAAAAGTCAACGCCGGAATCTGGCTGGAAAAAATTATTTTCTGAAAAAAAAAAGTTTTGGGGGTTAATATGATATATTTGTTTTAATCCGGGGTCAATGTGTAATATTAAGGAAGTTAGATCATAATGGGTGGAATTGATAAGAATTATATTATTAAGGGTATTTTAGACTAAAGACATAGTGATGGACTTAATTGAGAGACTGTTTTTTTTGTGAACCAAAATGCATTTAAGTCTCATGTGATGGGTTTTTTTACCATTTGCCCTAAACTAAATGGTTAAAATCATTTTATTAAACATTAACAAAGACAAGCAAACTTTAAAAGTAAGGCTATGTTTGATAGAATTAAGCACTGAATGCTGAATGCTGAATACAACTCTGAATAGTTAAGAGTTTGCCCGAGTGCTGAATACTAAACTATCAAGTTTGTTTGATAACTTAGCATCTGAATAATGTAATTTTACTGTATTAGCCTTCTATATAAATTTATAATTGACTAGATGAATTATAAGTACTATTAAATATTTCTTCCTACAATAAAACATCATATAATAAATCATGGAATTTAATCAATTAAAAATAATAAATTCACTTATAGTTATACGTTAGAATCGTATATTTCTTGTATAAATAATAATTTAATCCAAATCATACAAAATTACAATATTAGATTCAATTAAAATCATAAAATAATAAAAAAGGATTTCACTTTTTCATTTACTCTTTATTATTTTTTCATTGTAGCTCAACTGGTTCCGGAGGTGGTAAGTTGGTGCAAGGTCCTAGGATCGAATCCTGGCAGCCGCAGTGTGGGAATTTCAACTCCAATGAGATTGGTTCCTTGTGGGCACCAGGTCCGGGTCCGCTACCTTAACGGGCCGTTGAGTTACCATGATTTACATTCCTCCATCAATCCTTGTCGGGCCAAGGGATGGGGGCCCTGGGGGCGAGGGATTTCGCCTTTTGGTGCAAGGGTGGATAAAAGAAGATAATAAATGAGTTCACACTTGAGGGCCCCATCATCAATTGAATACAAAGCCTTGGATGAATTTTTGGATTTATGAAATTTTAATGAGGATAAATTTGTCTAGAATATGTTCGGTGATGTGTCTGAACGAATAAGACGACGGACAATTTTGATTGAATCAATAAGAGGTGAGAGGTTCAGTTCAGAGGTGAATACCAAACACATTAAATATGGTGATGCTGACCGAATAAGATAAGTTACTCATTCAGAGGTTATCAAACACAGCCTAAATGTCTATATTTTTAGTTATAATCTTCAACTTCTATTTTTGCGGACACTACTCTCCATTCAATTACTCGATAACCAATTCTCCGAATCCGACCACTTGGATGCCAAATGCTTGTTCTTGACAACAACTAATAAATATCTTGGATGGAATCGACTTTTTTTTTTTTTCTCCCATAATAGGCACTTTGCACCCTTAAATTAAAAAAAAAAATGGCAGAATGCAACCTTCAATTACATCTTGCTTGGCACGTTGCACTCTACTTCATTTTTTAGCTAAAAAAATGACCTGCTGCCTGTTGAATAGGGGTGAATTTTTCTTTCTTTATTTCTCACAAACTTAAATATATTTCATCTTCTCCATTTCACATATCCAAACCCGGCCAAGAACAACTAATGTTCATCGTTCTCTATCAATAGTATGACGAAACTTTACTCCAATTTTTAATAAATTTATATTTTATTTATTCTAGAATAAATACGTAGTCATTTAAAAGCAAGCATTCAAAATCAATGTTTGTTAATATGTTATATGCAAATAAAGGTCATGCACTATGCAATTCCATAAATTTTCACAACTCATATAATAAAACTTATTTTTTTCTTGTTCACGTGGGGTTAAAAGGAGAATTATGTATATATTAGAATTTTCGGAAATTAAATTGGATCGAAAAATTGAAAATTTCAAATATTTTTAATTTCAAAAGATATCATACATTGAAATTTCAGAAATCGGAATAAAAAAAAGTTGTTTTAAAAATCGAAACCAGCAGAAATTAAAAATTATATTTCAAGTTTCACCCTTGCAATGCTTCGTGATCGTAACTTCCACTAATTATCTGTTTATTGTGCCGTACATAAAATCATAATTAACAACTCAGCTGCTCCATTAAAATCCATTGACAATATTAGTTGGGAGTTGCCCGAAATCAAAATCCCATCATCAAAATCCGTTGACCGACTTTTTGACTTTCACCACTCCGTGTGGGGTACTTAAATAATCTTATATACGGTAAAATTGGAATATCAATTTTGATTTTCGTCGATTTTGGATCTGAAATTTTTTATTTTGGAACTTTTCATCACAAAGTCTCAATTTTCGATTTTCTCAAAATTCTTTGGATTTAAATTGGTATATATATGTATATACATAAGATTCCAATTTTTCAATCAATTTACGAAAATTCCGATTTTTCCCCCCGAAAAATACACGTCGAATATCGAAAAGATTATAATTAAGCTTTCAAAATCACAGATTAGAAGCTTGGAACTAAAGAACCGACAACGTTAATTAGCTACCATTTTGGACACAACCAAAACATAAAGTTTGAGGTTAAACAGAATATTCCATACATAAGAGTTTTTTTTTTTATCCTAAAAAAAAAAAGAAAAAAACTTAAATAAAATTCAACAACACATTTGGCATATAATCCATAATCAGTGAGAAGATAGTAAGTTTATTTTTCATCCCTCAAATCCTTATTCTTTTCCCATCATTTTCCGGAACATTCACATCGCTCGCCCCAAACAGCGCCTCCGTCTGTCCACGTTCCTGCTTCAAACAGAGTTACATTACTCTCCGTCACTTACTAAACGATATTTATTTTCGATTTTTTTTTTCTTCGTATTTTGATTAATTATATTACCAAAACTTACATTTTCATTAGGAACAATTGCATATCTCTGAGTGGGAGACACCCAAGTTTTTTCTGTTAATGAAAAAACATCACTTGTCAAAAGGGTATTTTGGTAATTATTGAAACTACTATTTCTCGAGTCTCGACCAATTGAAATAGAAATAAAAAAAAAAAAAAAAATATATATATATATATATATATATATATATATATATATATATATATATATATATATAGATAGATAGATAGATACATATATATTACCCGAGGATATGTCAACTTTCGAGGCTGCAATGTTTTGTCCACTTGAACCATCCGTACTTAACGCCTCTATAATCTTCGGAACATTTCTACAATGTCGATGAACGAAAAATCATTTCATTACAAAAAATGTTCGTCTAAAAGATTTGATGACTCGATTTTAAGAATTTCTCATATAAGTTTATTTATAGTAGATCTTATTCAAGCACGAAGAAAGTTGAGCAGCGTTTCAAAAGATCGTATTTTTTTTCGAAGCACTAAACAAGATAAGTCAATCACAGACGAGATATATATATATTACCGGTCAACACATTCACCATGGCCGAGTTGACCGTTTGTGCCCCTTCCCCATGAGAACACGTTCTGCCTGTCGGTGACAGCGAGCGTATGCCTCCAACCACACGAGATGTTGACTACTTTCTGTCCCGCGTGGAAAATTGAATATTAAAAAACTTTAAGAAAAAGAGATTTTCGTACGAGCTTCTAGAAAAAAAATGGTATTAGTGTTGCCAACGAAAATCGTACCTGATCGAGTGGAAATTTGACTTGCACAGGCGAGCAATGATCGATGCTGTCACCTACACCAACTTGTCCAAACTTTACACACAGATAAGTTTCGACAAATTTTAAAATCAGTTTGATTGAACACGAAAGTCGTTCCAAAGCAGTTGCACATAAATAAGAATTTTCGGATAAGACGACAATTAAATCAACACGTTACGAAAGCGACCGCCTTTAGGTGCCCAAATCAAGAAACAGGCTACTGAGAGAGAGAGAGAGAGAGAGAGAGAGAGAGAGAGAGAGAGAGAGAGAGAGAGAGACCTTATTCCAGCCCCAGCCATAGAGTTCTCCGTCGGTCGTCAACGCCATCGTATGCCTCCAACCACCTGAAATCTACGGAAAGGAGCACTAATTGATTCCATGAAAAATATGTATACACGGAAGAAAAACAATATTCAATCGGTGTGTTCGAAATATTAATGATTACTTGAGATATTTGACTATCGCGCAAAGATTCCAACTTGTGAGGGATAAGATGGTCTTCAAAATCACCGTGTCCTAGTTGGCCGTATTTGCTCCACCCGTACGTATACAAACTGCCCGAAGAGGACACGGAAATCGTATGTCGCCACCCACACGCTACCAGAACCATCTTCTCTCCCTGCAGCAAGGTTAATCATTCGTTTATACGCAACGAGATTTTATTCATTCGTTTATACGCAACGAGATTTAAAAAAAAAAATGAATTAAGTTTTTCTTACACACCTCAACGGTTGAAACTTTGCCAGGTAATAACCGGTCAAATCTGTCGCCCAAACCGAGATTACCGTATCGACCCCAGCCCCAGCCATAAAGCTCGCCATCTTCCGTTACGGCAGCTGTATGTTCAGCACCAGCAGCTACCATTTTCACCGGTATACCCTACGTATCGTACAAAAAAAGGTTTTTACGCATCTTTAAAAAAGAAATTACCAAAATGCCTATATTAATAAATTCATCATTTATTTACGTTGATCAACAAATAATTCGACAAAATTACGCTCATAAGTTAATGCAAAAAAAAAAAAAAAAAAAAAAAAAAAAAAAACCGTGAAGGGCACTTAATAATTTCAATTGTTGATTTATAAACGTGAAAACCACGCTATTTATTTTGTTAGCATAAATAAATAGTAGAAGGGGTATCGATACAAAATCGTTGAGCACGTCACGCTTTTTCAATATAATTTACATAGTTGCGGAATCATTGACCAACGTGAAATTTTCGTCTTCGTCAACATTTTCCGCTAGCTGGAAATCGTGAGGACATAATCGTCATACAAAATTATCGATAACAGTTTGAACGGTTAAATACCTGGAAAGCTTCAATGTTTCGGGGTACAAGAGAATCCTCCGTGGTCCCAAGTCCAAGTTGACCGTTTTGATTCCTTCCCCAACTACAAGACGAAGATCACAGAGCGCAAAAACCGTCATACAAATGATTCTAAGGAAAACGAATTTTCAGACAGTATATAAAAAATCAGTCAAAGGCTCGATCGGTTGACCAACCTTTTAACCTCGCCTTCCATAGTCACCGCCAAACAATGGCTGTCCCCGCACGCAATCTGCTTTATCCGAAGTCCTTGCAGCGCTTTGATTGGTTGAGGAGAAAACAAATCGCTCGAATTTCCATGCCCTAATCTCCCGAAGTCACCCCTACCAAAAACAAATAGTGACACGGTTACTTCAAGATTAATTTAAATAATGCCGATCATCCCGAACGTAAATTAGTAGGAAATTAAATTACCATCCCCAGCTGTAAACTTGCATTTGCGATTTGGAATAAGCAGTCGTATGATCAGCTCCGCTAGTAACGGAAACGATATCTAAATCATCCAAAGCACTCAGCTGAGTTGGCGAAAATCGATCTTCGGCATCTCCATGGCCCAGTTGCCCGTCTTCTCCTCTTCCCCACGAGCATACAACGTTACCAGCTGGCATTACACAAACCAAATATTACATCATTGCCATCATTGTATTACATATCCACATCATTGTCTTGTGTACTAATTCGAAAGCATTAGAGTTCGAAAAGAATATAGAATCTCTTCTTTTCCATTTCGATTTCAAAAGTTTATTTCATCAACTGCGAATTTCGGTAGCTTCATATGTAATGCAACTACAAGAAGAAAGAACAGCATTTTGAACTCTTATGTTTGGATAATTACAACTAGTCCCGCTCAACTATGAATCTTCTGCACGTCCGTCCTTATGGTGTCAAATTCAATAGAATCTTCCAGATTCCATGAATTGTTCTCTAGTTTATACTCGTTTTGTGCAAAAATGCAATTTCTGATGCACCACAATCTGTTATTTGCAAGCCAAGAGACAACACATCTTATGATCAACTTGTTTCAAAATGTGGAGCTCGAATGAGATAAAACGAGTTTGTACTAGAGAATATTCCACATAATCTAGAAGATGCCACTAAATTTAACACCGTAAGGATAGACGTGTAAGAAGATTCAAAATTAGGAGGTGGTTGTAATTACCGAAACAGGAAGATTTTTTTTGTAATTACCCTATATTATAAGATCTTCGAAAATAAGATTATTTTAGAACTCTCCAACTACTCTATTACAAATCCCAAAACATGAGAAGGTCCTTTTAATTAATAATTTAGAAAAATATTAATCATTATTTCATATGGGGATTTTTATATTATTTTTTAGAACTCCAACTATTCTTATTACAAATCCCAAAAACATGAAGCATTGACTATATCGAATAAACTAACATATAATGAAATATTTAGTCAAGAAAAGAAGCAACCATCTCATAATCCCAAGAAGAAAGAACCAATTGGAACATTATTAAATTCACTGATTCAAGAATCATTAACGTGGAGCATTCTTATCCATGCATACAGACCACGATCAATCCTATTTTCTCATAATCACTACAGTAGTAAAGTTCAAATCTTTAGTTACATTTTGTCATCAAGAAATAAAAAATCGAAAAAAACAAAAAGAAAAAAAGAAAAAAGAAATACAAAATCAAGAAGGAAAAACAAAGTCAAGAGATTCAAACCCATTCACAAAACCCATATATAGATATACACAAGCAATGTATGTATATGTTTATATAGAGGAGTTGTGATTTTGATGAAACTTACAGAGGAGAGCAACGGAGTGGCTAGCGCCGGCGGATATGAGGAGCACTCTGCGTATTGGGCCGGAGACTGCTCCGCCGCCGCCGCCGCTACTGCTGCTGCTTTGAATTTTTCCTTCAGCTTCCATTTTTTTTTGTTTTTTGTTCTGTTTAGTTTTTTTTCTGGGGAGAGTGCAAAAAGTCAAGAGAGAGAAAAGTAGAAAGATATTTTAGTTAGGATGAGAGAGAGAGAGAGAGAGAGAGAGAGAGAGAGAGGGTATTTATAGTGATGGGGGCATGTGCTTCTGCTGCCTACCGACTGTCATATATTTAACTCCCTATTTACTCATACTCTGTATTATGTTTCCTGTACAATTGTACTCTGTATTTCCCCGTTTTTGGGTCTTCAGTTAAAAAGAAGAAAAAAAATTAAAAGGGGTAAATTACAACCTACCCCTTTTGTTATGGTCAAATTATGAAAAAATTCGACGTTTTTCAATTTGGGTAATTACAACCAGCTCTCAACTATAAATCTTCTTACACGTCCATCTTTGCGGTGTCAAATTTAGTGGAATCTTCTAGATTATTTGGAATATTCTTCAATTTGTACCAATTTTGTCTCATTCGAGCTCCACATTTTGAAGCAAGATGGTCATAAGATGTGTTTTTTGGCTTGTATACATCAGATTGTGACGCATCAGAAACTGCATTCAACAGAGTCTACAAGATTATGTTGAATTTGACACCATAAGGTTGGACGTGTAAGAAGATTTATAGTTAAGAGGTAGTTGTAATTATCTAGACATGAGGGATTTTTTCGTAATTTGACATACTTCAGAGAGTGGTTATAATTTACCCTACAAAATGAATTTCTTTTATAAGATGTTGTGGCATTTGTGTTATTTAAAAAAATATATTAGACATTTTTCATAATAAAAATATATATTATATAAAATTTAATCATTAATATTAATTATGACTGTTGCTTTGTGATATATTTCTCATGTTATTAATATTAACAAACTTCGATGATGATGATGCATTTTTCTTAACACACGGCGTCATAACCCCTTAAATAGTAGGATTTAGGGATAATTTGCTAATATAGTTACTAAAACACTCCTGTAAATGTTACACCGGCTACACCTACACCTAGGGGTGGAAATCGGACGGATCGGATCGGATTTGGGTGTTTCGGAAAATTTCCGATTTTTTCCGGAAGTCCAAAACGCCTTCCAATTCCGATTCCGATTTTTTCGGAATTCAAAAATTGATTCCGATTCCGATTTTTTCGGAATTTTCGGAAAACCGGAATTTTTCGGAAATCTTCATTTTCGGAATTTTTGGAAATTTTCGGAATTTTTTCGGAAATTTTCGGAATTTTTCGGAAATTTTCGGAATTTTTCGGAAATTTGTCGGAATTTGTCGGAATTTTCCCAAAAAAAAAAGGAAAAAAAATAAATAAATAAATAAATAATTTTGAGTTTTGACTTTTGTATGTTTTAGAAAATTAAAAAATAATAATATGTCCAAATATAATATATATATATATATATATATATATATATATATATATATATATATATATATATAAATTGGAAAAATATTAGTAATATACTAATATATATTACTAATAATTAGTGCAGACTGCGGATATCTATAGACATATAGTATATATTATATATAGTAATAAATATTTATAATAATTAGAAAAATCAGAATAAATCGGAAATAATCGGAAATAATTTCGGATCGGAAATCGGAAATTCCGAAATTCTGTTATGTATTTCCGATCCGATTTTTTTGGGAATTTTCGGAAATCGGAATTTTGGAATTCGGAATTGAAAAAGTCGTTCCAAAATCGGAATATTTCGGATCGGATTCGGCGGAAATCGGAATTTTCGTTCCAATTTCCACCCCTACCTACACCGTTACACTAATCGACTTATAACGTATTATACGGTTAAAATATTACTCAATGAAATAAATCATTGTTACGAATGTGGCAAAATCTTGGAACTTCTTAAAGATTAGGAGTTTAAATTATGAACGGACCCTCCGTTATAAGAAAGAAATTGGATTCCAAAATTGTGTGACCGTGATTTATTATTATTATTATTATTATTATTATTATTATTATGAAAAGAATTGTTTAGTGGAGGAATCATCTCACATATAGTTCTCATTTTAAAGATGGGAGTTAGAGCACAATAATCTTGATTAAATATTACACGTGTCATTTATGTAGATGGATGGTCCGTTTCAAATTAACACCCAAAGATTAAACCAAAACGCTTTAATTTACCCCGCAAGGGTGGCCTAGCGGTTGGAGCAAGAGAACTTGGGTCAATTGACCCAAGTTCGAATCCCCTTGCCAACGGTCGCTAGGTCGAGCTTGTCACACATGGTTAGCCTAGTGTGGTTTACATCTCTCGTATGGTTTGCAATAGGTCGAGCTTGTCACACATGGTTAGCCTAGTGTGGTTTACATCTCTCGTATGGTTTGCAAGCTATTATACGAGAGTGTAGGTTTACCCAGTGCACCTATATGGTTGGCTGCGGGTTCCTGCATTACCAAAAAAAAAAAAAAAAAAAAACGCTTTAATTTATTAGTATCGTACTACTCAATTTGTTCCATAATAATTATTTTTTTCCTAAAATTATTTTTGCTTCGTATTATTTGTCATTTAGATTTTTAATATTGTATTAAATCATTTTTTTTATATTTTAACCTTATTAATTCAACTCTAAATAGTAACTTATGTTATCAGATCATTAAATGATCAAACTTATTTTAGTCTTTTTAATATGCTTTTCATAAAATCAAGACACATTTATTTGGTAGGTCAACGTTCGCTAGGTCGAGCTTGTCACATATAATTAACCTATATGGTTTACATCTTCTGTATGGTTTGCAAGCTATATACACTTATAGAAAAATTGTTTTTTACTACAACCATTGACCGTAGTAAAATGTATCAAATTTGTAGTAACAATACTTTTGCTACGCATGTGTTACAATTTTGCCCCATAGTATATACATGCGTGACAAAAACTCTGCTACGGTAAATGACCGTAGCAAGTACTTATTTGATACAGTAATTCCCAGCATTTACTACGACTCCAAAATTGTCCCGTAATTAAAAGTACCTTTTATTACGGCTTTTTACCGTAGCAAAAAAAATTGTAGTAAAAAGCCATGTTTTTACTAGTGTATAGTTGGATGCAAATTCCTTCGTTAACGAAAAAAAATAAAAAATTATAAATATTCCCATATATCTAGTATATTACTATATAACTATCTGAATATAACATACCCCCACCCCCCAACTCTACCCATTATTACTATACTAAAACTTGAGGGTCCATTTAATTCATTTTATTTTGTCAAAGGAAACATTGGAAAAATCATTCTGCTGATCAATACGTATCGCAAAAAGGAAATACTATAAATTGATTAAATTAATGTATTGATTTAATAATTGGATTTAGTTCAAGAAATGGCATGAATTAAATGACATACGAAGCAGCCTGAAATAATTTTTGGCGCAGAAAAAACCAAACACCAGACGTAGTACTGATGTGAAGAGCACATGGGGCTGCATCTAATGTTGCCTTTCATTAATATAATAACTCCAATTTTGCTTCCATTTTATATATTATATTAAACATATATCAACTATGAAAATTGTGTATTATTAGACATTCGCTAATTCAATTATGCAATTATATATATATGGTCTCACAATTTTTTTATGATTTTATCTTGGTTAATTTTAATTAGTGATTTTATTTAATTAAAGTAATACAACATCGAACCCGGAATTAGTCGGATGGAGTAGATAACTTCTTTGTTACATTACTTAAATAAAGAAAAAAAACCCATCGGCCCTCCACAAGCCGTGCTTGCATTTTTCACGATGTGAAAATGAAATTTAATTACTATTATCTTTAGATTAAATACCATGATTTCAATTTAATTTATCTTTAGAATAAATACAATTAAGATCGAGATTAATAAATTGTGTATATTCAAAATTAAAACAAAAGGGAGCAAAAATATATAATGCATTGAAGGGAAGACGACGAAAGTTGGTGAAGTCATGGCCACATCATCGGTGCATGCAGTAAGCACCGACGGCTTTTGGGGGCCGCCGCCTCACAAACTAACTCCGATCCGTTTTAGCTTTCGTACATCTCTTCTCTCTTCTCTTCCTTATTGCTAATGTATATCAACTCACCAAACCACTGACCTCAACTTAAAAACCACAAATACAACTAAACCATAGTAGTTGATGTTGTGATGTATTACGATAGATATATACGATACGTTTTTTATGAAAACCATACAACTCGTAATATGTATATCGATTGTAATCAAATACCGGCTCGATATCGCAATATGATCATAAGATATTTATGATATTAGTCTTGGAGGTGATTTGTAATTTTCAGCAAATATAGGATGATTTGTGCGATTTTCAGCACAATTTGTGGCGATTTTCAGCACATTGAGGCATTTTGTGCGATTTTTATCACTTTTTTTAATATTAAAAATTACGTGTTTTACTATTTTTTATTTTTATTTTAATTAAGGAAAAATAAATAAAATATGCTTAAGATAATTTTATTAGTCTTTCAATCACAACCAACAAATTTGTTCAACACCACATAATCAATCGCAATTCATATTAGCAAAGGTAATAAAACCGACCATAACATTTCAAAAAACTATGACTTTAGTCCTAATTAGTAATTTATGTTGAGACTTTAATTCAGAACTATTTTGATTGAACGGTTTGATTTTAAAATATCTAGCTCTACGTGTTTATTGTATTTTTATTATATAATATATATTTTGTAATATTTTTAATAGTTTGTCAAATATCTTACGATACGATATGGTACGATACGTGAAGAAAAACGATGCACAACATAATCCCGATATGCTAGCTATAAACTAAACTATGTACCATGGTCAACATATATATATAAATGCTCAAATTAGTAAATATACCAAATTACTATTAACATTTAAGGAATAATTGATCTACTTTTCGGTTGTATTTGAATCGCAGGATTTGATTTGATGAGCGATATAATAATTTAGAAGAACAAAATTCAAGTGACTTCTCTACGTCGTCTCACTGTCTACCATGGTTAGAGCATCTTTCGATTCTTCTTTTTTTACTGAGTCTGGTCCTTTACATTGTGCGTATTTTAATTATAGATATACACATAATCACACACCCATGTGTATGTGTACTT